ACCCTCTCCCCATTCCCAAACCCGAAATAATTAACCCACCCGTTTAAAATAAAAAAGAATAAAATGTAATGTAAAGTAAAGTAAAATAAAGTAACATAAAAAAAAGTAAAATAAAATAAAAATAGAATAAAGTAAAAATAAAAAAGAAGCAATGTACTTGTAATCCATTCACCAATCATCCATCCACCCACCCACCATTCAATCCAAACCCATCCAATAACATCATATCTTAACCCATTCACACACTCATCCATATCCTAAGATAGAATCTTAATCTGTATCATCATCTGAATCTTATTCATCCACATACATACATACACCAAGGACCCAATACCCAATAGAAGAAACAATTCTTTTCTCCGTTTCCTATTCCTATTCCTATTTTCCATTGTCATTCACACCAATTTGCATCACACCACATAAAAATCGCATCCATTCAATTCATTCCACCCTAGCATCACAAAGAATCATATGATTAGTTTTCACCTTGGCTCCTGATGACAGCTATGAATTTTGAGATGGCCTCCTTCAAAACACATCTCAAACCTTTCACGGGGTGCATCATTTCAAAGGAAAGCGCCTGACATGGACCTGATGATTCATCATAAAAACTATTGATGAATCATTTCAAAGTCATTCAAGTGAGTCGTGAATAAATTGATCAGGAGTAGGCACATTCTCCACTCCTCCATCATATTTATCAAAACTCGTCGCTTCAACGCGTAACTCATCGTCGACTAAAATATCCGTGAATAACACTTCAGCGTTCTCTCCCCAACATTCCTTTCATCAACCTCTGTCTCATTTCTTCACCACCATCAAAAGGTCCAGCACTACCAGCAGCCCCATAACTTCCACTTCCTGCTCTATTAACTCTTAACAAATCATTTGCACCTCCATCAAACGCATTTCCTAATCCAGAACTCGTCCCATAAATACTATTTGTATTTGCATTACTTCTCGAACTACCACCTAGATTATTCATATTTGTTTGACCGTAGGGAGATGCGGATGTATGGCCTAAAGTAGGAAGGTCAAGAGTAGGTAAATCAATGTAGGAAGCGTCCGCGAATTGATTATAGGATTGTTGTTGATGTGTTGTTGGGGTAGAACGAGCATAAGAGGATGTTTGATTTAGAGCTGAGGATTTATAGTCAGGTTGAGAGTAGGATGGAGTTGTGGTAGAAATAGAAGGTGTGCGAGGATTGTAAGATGCTTCAGGTTGTGAATAAGTTGGCGAGGGATTTGCTAGAGACGATGAAGTTCGGTATGAAGTATCGGCTTGAGAGAAAGAGGGTGATGGTTGAGCTATGTTATGAGGACTAGCAGTTCGGTAGGCATTTTCTGCATGTGTAAATTGTGGTGAGGCTTGGCTCATGGTACCTGCTCGGTAGCTGTTGGCCATCTGAGGTGATGGTTGGTGAGCGCTATATCGTTGATTTGGTTGATTTGAATTCGAAGGATACTGTGAGACATAACTAGTAGTACCATGATTTGGGAAATAGCTATTCGAAGCATTTCTCGAAACATTTTGTGTCATTTTTTGACTCTGATCATCTCGTGAATGGCTTTGTTGGGATGTTTGATGTTGCATTTGAGCTTGCTGAGGTTGTTGAGAAGTTTGCAAATTCATTTGTTGTGGGGTTGATTGAGGGATTGATGAAGATTTCTGATGTTGCCGTACCTGGGGAGTGATTGTTGGAGTAATACTTCGTCCATTCTGTTGTCCAAGATCTTGAAAGCGAGCATAATGAGCTTCCAATCCATCAGCAGGTCGAGTTACAGGTGTGCCCTGTTGTGATTGTTGGATGTTTTGTTGTATGCCTTGTACTGAAGTGGCTGGGGAATCTGGAATAGAGCTTGGCGGTATAGGAGGTGTAGCATTACTGACGACCGATGAACCAGTCTTCTTACCGGTAACAGGACCATTAGCTCCAGGAACCTTTGGCTTTCGTTGTCGTTTCGGAGGTGGCGGAACAAGAGTTTCAACCATAGGAGGTACAGATTCCCACTGTACACTAGAAGTATCTTTTTGCACAAGGGGGCTTTCAGCTGGCGCAGGAAGAGGACTAATATTCTTAGATGTATGACTAGTTTGTGGTTGTGATCCTGAAATATTTTGAGATGCCGTCATCGAAGGGTTCTTAGGCTTATTAGGACCACGTTTTCTCTTCATACCACCAGCCGTAGGAGTGCCATTGTTTACCGGTGTCGGTTGAGTCGAATTGAAACTATCAGAACCTCCACCAGGTGCTTGCTCGTTCTGAAACGCTTCGATGACGGCACGTTCTTCCGGACTATATTGATCCGGCGGGAGAATAGAAGAGGTATGGCCGGCGCTCGAGTCTGCGTTCCAATGCTCTGTCGAGTATGTGAGTTGTGGCTGACCACCCTTGTTGCTTATGTCCGTGATTGGGACAATTGGGGATCCCTTCGCAGTGTTGGGTTTCTCAGCCGTCATGTTTGCAACCGCGGCAGGCTGTTGAATGTGTTGTTCTGACGGTCCTGGTTCTGATGTGGAAGCATCAACACTACTCATTCCTCCCGCGCTTTCACTTCCAGTTTGTACTTCTTTTCCCTTATTTCTAGATCCTTTGGGTCTACCTCTCCTTCGTTTGCTTGTAGATTCAGTATCAGGAGCAAGATTATCAATGTGTTGTTTGAGGGGAGTGGCGGGTCGCTCTGACTCGGTCTGAACAGGACGACTCAAGTTAGGACTTGCTGTTGAAGCCGATGGAACTGCTGCAGCAGCAGGTATTGGTGGAGCCGCCATCGGGGGTGCAGTATTAACTAAAGCTACAGATTGAGGCAATCCCCAAGTTGGGGCTTGAACAGCTGGACCAAATCCAAATCCGTTTGCTGGTCCTGGAGGATCAGATGTACCATTCTCTGAACCTTTCGAATCTCTCGGTGGTCTTCCACGACCTCTTTTCCCTTTGGCAGAAAGTGGTTCCTGCATCTTCGGTGCTGGAGGTTCTGGTGCTGATGAAAGATCGGGAAATATTTCTGCCAACCATCCTATAAACAATGCCCCAGTCTCTCTTGTATTCGCACTTTCAGGAAAGATACCATCTTCTGGTGGCGGTGCACCAGGTATACCACCAAAATATGCCACTGCTTTACAAACCTGATCGACGACCGTGACTGGATTGATGCTTCTCAATAATGTCAATAATCGCGCTTGTTCATATTTCGTCTCATCCGGAGTTAGCGGCCTCGCACGTTGTTTGTGATCATCTCGTGAACCAAACGGAGATGCGCGATTCCCACCTTCATTTTTCGCCGCGTCGAGTCCTCTCTTCTTCGGAGGAGCATATTTTTCATTCGCAGCAGCTTTCGCACGCGAGGCCGTGTTTTCACTCGTTCTTCTGGCGGCAGCATCACGTTCAGCTGCGGCATCTTTCCCCGGTGCCTCTTTCTTTCCTGGCGTACTGGCCGCCATGTGCATCACCCCAAAATTGCCCTTTTTATTATCGGTCTTGCCTTTCAGCTTAGAGGGGACCGGATTACGAACTCTCCCGTCCTTGTTTGGACCTAAAACCCCGTCGAGTATGGGGTTCGAATTCAATTCCACCAGCTCCAACGCGCCAAAGCCACCTCGAGGCGATGATGCTGATTGATCTTTCTGGAGAGTTTTCGCCGGTGCAACTGTTGGAGTGATCTCGGTAGTATTCTGACCTGAGGTAGGGCGCGATGATTGTGCCATCGAATTATTGGTGGTGGATGTAATGTCGAGAGTGATTTTACTAACTTGATTCGCGTTGGGCGTCTGTATTTTAGAATGGAGCTCGGTCGCATTAACTGGATTGGTATCGACAAATTGATTGATACGGAAATGCCCAAAGTTGCCTTGACCTGTGATAACTGAAGAAAGGCTTGAAGACACTGTTGACATTATCGTGATTGAATTGAAGAAGCTGTCGCCATGATCATGATATCTGTTTAGTTGTACAAGGGAATAGACTTTGAGTAGGTAGGTAGATCTTAGAGGCTGGCTACTTTGGTTTGGTTTGGCTTGGTTTAGTTTATTAGTTTAGTTTGGGTGCTTATTGTGAACCACGGGATCGCGTCTAAATAAGCTATGGCCCCCCCAAAAGGTGTGAATAATGTTTACTAGGAAGGATGGATGGATGGATACGTGAGATGTGACTTTCCCACCTGTTTACGAGGCAAGACAAAAGGAGAGAGTAGGTAATCAGAAAGTATATTTATCTACCCCATCATTGAAACAATTATTGTGGAGTCGGAACAAAAGTATATCTTCATTTTCATCAGTTTTATCTAAGGAGTGTTAGGGCATTCTTCATTCTTCATTCATTCATTCATTCTTTATCAATGTGCTTATTGTTACAAGTACATGTAAGAAGTACTACTAGTATTCATCAGGTATACAAATACAAAGTACCTACTACTTGTGCGCCTATCATCCAAACTCCCTTTCCATTTCCCACACAACAACCTCCTCTATAAATATCCAGCCTATCTGGGTGTTGCTGAGCCACATAAAACTGGAGAACCACCACAGAGCTTGCTTTGGTATTGGTATGTCATGGTGTGTGTATGTCAGAGCTTAGTAATATAATATAATATAATATTTTGATAACCTAACGAAATGAAATGTTGGACTAACTGTTGGATGTATATGTGTTATGAGAGGTTGGGAGGTTTAATAGAGTATAGGAATACAGGGTTTGATAGAATATATGAGTGTAAATAGGAGAAATGAAAGGTTTGGTTTTTTGTATTTAAATAGAGAATAGATATTAGATACACCAGTATACCATAAATAGCAGAGAAACATTAGATAGATAATGATAAATACGATACTCCTCCGAGGTAAAATCAAGTCAGCCCTCATCATCTCCATCATATCGAATAAAACAGTAATATACTTATACTTACATACCTACTCACACACTCTACAAATATCTCTATCAGTGGATCATTGAACTGATAGATACTCGAGGAGGTAATCAAATACAATTCGATTTAAATAGATTTAGGTATGATAATATAGATATAATATACCTAATAACATATAGACTTGCATACATCACATAAATAATTCGCAAGAGATCTCTCCTCTAATAATTAAGCCTGTCGGTTTTTCCTTCATTCAATAATAGGAGGTTGATATGGAATCATATAAAACCATAAGAATCCATGCAAATAGGATGACATTCCTAACCTTCTACCCCATCCAATCCATCCTATTGTCCATCAACATCCCAAAGCCATCTCCATAATAATGATCGAATGGGAAATTCCACTTCCATATCATATCGTCATATCATACAAAACGTTATGGTTTGACGTTCCACAAATCCGTTGTCCATCCCTTTTCCTTCATTTTCTTGCTATTTTTCGATGTCGTACTTCTCTTACTTCTACTGGATACCAGTAGAAGTTCTTTGCTTGCCGATGCAAGGGCGTTCACAAGTTCTGGCATCCTTCCGGTTTTGGAAAAGAGTTCTAAGAGATCAGAGTTTTCATCCGCCATGATAGTGGACAATTCCATAGAGGTCATCAAGTAATCACGAGTCAACACTGCTCCAGCCATCTGTAACGTTGCGATCCAAGCAAGAATAGTCTCGGGAAGATAGGTTTCCCGTATCTTTGCAAACTCGGGTTGTTCTAGTAAAATATGTCAGCACTTTTCCATTTTCATAAAACAAAAATCGCTTACCTTGCAAGCTTGTTGTCAACCATCCATTAAATAATGGCTCTGCACCAATATTTGCAGCTGGGAGGCTTTGACCTAAACCTCGCTTCATGGACTTTTTCATTTCAATGTCATCACCCCTAAGGTAAAATGTTAGCGACAAAGCTAAATTCAGATACCAAATAACTCACTCTTGCATGAGAAAAAATATGCCCCATGCACTCTCTATGCGATCCAAAGTCAACGCCAATGTCTCCAGTTCTCTGAAACTCTTTGCCTGCTCCACCATATACTTTTTTAGGTGTCTCTTCTTATCCGCTGAGCCATCAAGAACTTCAGTCAAATCCTCATTCTCTTCCGACTCCAGACCCTGAAAATCGAGGCTTTCGCCTAACAATGCCCGAGTTTTACTCAATGCGATTTCAGAACTCGGTATTCTTTGAGATAAAGTGAGAGCAGCGGAAAGGTGTAGATTCTCTGATGAGTATTTAGCATTGAAGGAGAGATCTAAGAATGAAAACTTACTATAAAATCGCTGATACAGCATTCTACCAACCATGAATGTCTCAGACCAAAGTCCATCTACAAGTAGATACCACTCTAAACTTCTAATGAGCAAAAGATCAATCCTATCAAGAGTCTCAGAATCCTGTCCTATGAAATCCTTCCTTATCTTTTTCCCTCCCCTGCCATCATCTACCAGAACCTGAAACTCCTTGGGTGATGGATATCCTTTAGCTCCATCGGGATGATCCGAGAGAAGAAATCTTGACTGATAGTTGACGAATTGTTGAACATCCAATCCTAGCTCCCTCATCAATCTGATTTGGGTGACTCGTTGTTCATGATCTGTGATATCAATCAGAGTGCGACTAAGAGTGGCGTATCTTCTTGCTCCAGAGAGTTGAGAACAATATAGAGGGATTAGTTCCCCTTTATTTGCGAGACGTAGGAAACTGATGTATGCCACAATAACATTCTCGATGACAGACTCTTTAAGTACACCACCAAAATTTAATCCAAGGCCTCTAAAGATGAGTATAACATGAGTAAAAACTCGCAAACTATCGTGATCACCCAAATTGACATAATTAGTAATGTCTTGATCTTTTGGTTGCTCATCCGTACGGGGTATCAAGTTCGAGGTGGTTTCCGCGTTCGCAAATTTTGACAACGCCAAACCTTGCTGATAGATGAAGTCCGCAAATTGTTCACCAATCAACACACCTTGAAGCATTTTCATTGGTTGTGAGCTTTCTTCTGCCGTACGTGCATCTGTCTTTAAGTTTTCAACAAGTCGTTTCCCAGCTATCGCATTATCCCCATGAAGGACAACAGCATCAAGTGTCCCAAAGGCCAGAGTTCCATTCATTAATGTTTGAGGCCCTGATTGGATGTAATGATCGAATTGTGTTCTCAACAAGGCATTGTAATGTGTGAAAATTAAGTCATCCCATGATTGACACACAGGTTCGACACTCGATATGTCGCCAGAGAGAATACCATATACAGCTCGTTCATAATCATCATTTCCACCCTTTCGAGCAAGTGCAAAACACATGCGTCTCCAGAGAGCTCCGGATGCAATATCCCCTTCCTCGTCGTCTTCTAATGGTTTATCATCCGGTAAACCAGACATGCTGACTGCTCTCCATACTTCAGTTCGATCCATACACCATTCTCTAATTTCAGCTGGGCTTCTTCCTCGACGGAGCATCTGATAGCATCCCAACCAAATGGCACGCTCAAAGTATTCATCCTGTTTTTCCAACTTTCGTCCTTGACGAGTCACTGCATCGGGGTCAAGCTGAGTGACCAGAGGTTCGGTTTTAGAAGAGTTCCACATGATTTTCTGAATCTCTTGAGAATTAGGATCGAGAGTTCGAGGCCAAGAATGCTGATTTTTCTGGAGTTTGATAGCTGCCTTAGTGTGTAACCAACCATGTGCGATAATATCTCCCCTTTCGGCATTTTGTTGTAAATCTTGAACTAGGACGTCAATTTCATCTCCTGATTCCTCAGCCGTATCCTGAAGCCATCGGAGCACAGTTTTTCGTTCTAGTGCTAAATTATCAGTCTGTAGGAAACGATCCCAAGCCTCTCGTTCACTCGTATACTGGTTTATAGGTGTCTGTGGGGATTCAAACTCTTTTCCAGTATTTGGTTCGGGAAATCGTAGATGTGCCAATCTTTTAAGCAAGTCCCAAGTTTGCGCCTCTTGCTCCCAACGAATTAAATCCTTTACGGTTGTCCTCGAACTTGTGATAAACTGATCCTCCTCATCCGAGTTCTCCATATCCATCTCATCGGTATCTTGTGCGATCTTGAAACCTCTCATCTTTTTTCTCCAACTCAAACCCTCTATCTTTCGGCGTTCGGATTCATGGCGATCTCGTAATTGATCCAGTGTGTCGAGAGCAGTCTTGTGATACAATTCAATCAAATCGAATGCCATCTCCCGTCTCTCATCTCCATCTGCCACCCTCAAAGGATTATATCCATCTAAAAATTCCGCAAACTTCTCAACCTCATTTCCAACTCGATTCGCAGCATCTTGAAGGGGGTATAAGACGGCTTCAGTTTCTCCTGCAGTTTCTATCATACTTGGCTTTTCGTATGCAACTATCGCTGAGAAGAATTAGTAAGTGCAGAGCGCACAATAATCATCATAGTACGCAAGCATCACTGACCCTGCTCTTGCTCTTGCTCCTCACCATAGCGCGACATTCCATCATAAGAAGAAGGGTCTTCAGAAAGTTCTCTTTCAAATCTTGATTCCGGCTGGCGCGTAAAGGTTAGCCTTGAACATTCTAGACTACATTCCAACGAAACTTACAGTTATCAGCTGCCAACTTCCTTCTCGCAAATTCTAGAAATTGAAAGCTCAAATCAGCTTTAATATCCATAGAATTTAGGATCTTCATATTTACCTGGGCCTTTGGTACATCCAATCCATTTGTATGATTGTTCATTACGGAACCGCGCGCTGACATGGGCGCCATATTCTTTAATGCGACACTGGGCAAAGGAAGAAATTAAAAAAGTAAGGCACAATCTTGTTCAATGTTGACATTGCATGGGCCATCGATCAAATCCTCAAATTGTAGCTTTCGGCCTTGGGAACTTTTAGGCGCGTCCTGTCCTGAAATGTCAGGGGTTGTAATTTTTTAGTCTCGAATTTAGCGTGATATTCCATTTGACGCTAAGGAATCTTCTACTTAAGAAATTTCCTCTTTGCAAATTTGTAAGTTTTTTCTTCACAAATGTCTTAACCGCCCTTCTAATTAGAGTCTCGAATCAAGCCTTCAATGTTTGGTTAGGTCCACAGGGATCTCTTTGCGCGCTCATGATCGGCCATATTAACGACTCTTCCTGTTTCCGTTACCTGACCTTTTCGAAGGTGTGAAGGATGGCAGTAAACTTGGAGAGTTACATCTTTTCGTAAGCTCAACTGTAGTTTTTGATTATGCGTATGGTACATGGATTCTTGGATTTATCAATGTGCTTGTGAAATGACTGGCAATGGTGATGTTACATTTGTGGCATCATGCTATGGAAGTTCTAGTACAAATAGGTGGATGTGAAGAGCCTTCTGCTTTCTGCCTTGGTGGCCATTTCGAGGGGCCGTATATATCTTCATGACGGCCTCCCTCATGACTGCTTCTCTTCTGATCTCTGTTTCATCTTCAATCTCAATAGATTTGCCTTGGGACAAGAGACAGTCTTTGCATCATCGCCATTCTTCTCATAAAATGCATTGCAGCAATCATATAGAGCATCAACCTGTGATCTACACTTTTCTTCATTATAACTGTTCTTTGCCAGACAATCTGTAGTGTAATCATCAGTCAAAGTTCCCAGTCAATTTTGACTGAAAGATGCTGACCTTGAATAGCACACTTTATTGTCAGCTTTTGAATGTTTTGAAAAAGTAAAGAAATAGTGTAACATACAGCTTTAGAATGGCAAGGTTGCTCTGTAATTATATCATTTTTGGGTGGCTAAAATTCCATGTTCATCAGTAACAAGCACCAAAAAGCAATATGATAGAAAAGATCACCATATTCAATTGGCCTTATGAATAAATGAACATCCGAGTTCTTTTCTTTTGAGTGAATCTTTGATTCAAATATGATATATAGCTGTAGGATAATCTCTTTCAAACAAATGGATAGAAGTTATCTAGGCATAGTAAATTCATTGATTCTCTAAGAATCTTTTTATATCCAAGAGGCTACAGTACACCGCAAAACACCAATCAGAACCCCTCCATACTTCTCTTTCCTTTTGTGGTACCAATCTTAGCGTCATCAGCCAAAGCGTGAATTTGACTTCTACTCCTCCCAATTCTTAAACTTTACTACATATCTCAAAAGTAGATCTACTACTTCAAATCAAATCCAGTCTTGTAAGTTTAATCACTACATGATAATCCTCTTTATTTCACAAACTAATCTGTCACCTTCAGCCTCGAATTCACAAGTACCCCACGACATTCACCAACCCATTTTCCAAATAACCTCAATCTCAAAATGTCCGACAACGAAGGAAGCCCAGCTGGCGAGAAGCCCGAAGCCCCCGTCTCCGAGCACTTGAACATCAAGGTCACCGATAACAATAATGAAGTTTTCTTCAAAATTAAGCGCTCAACCCAGTTGAAGAAGTTGATGGATGCTTTCTGTGAAAGACAAGGCAAGGCACCAAACTCTGTTCGATTCCTTTTTGATGGTAGTCGTGTTCAAGCTACAGATAGTCCGGATAAGGTATGTTATCATTTTTATATTTTATGAAGTGTTGGAAGTCTTTATTCGATAGAAGATATGGTTGCGCCATTGTGTCGCATCACTTTTTACTAACATATTTCACTCCAGTTGGATATGCAAGATGGCGATACTCTTGAGGTTCATCAAGAACAAATCGGTGGCCAATAAGCCATCCTTTCTTCTGCATTCAATTCACACGACGAAACGATACCTTAACAATCCGATATGCGCACAGTGGAGACGGGCGAAATGTACCAGGGTTTGGGATAGCTTGGGAGATGATGGAGAGCTCAGAGTAGGGAGAAGTGTGTATCACTGTGTTAGCAGTTAATATTTAACTACTAAAAAGGCGACAACAATCTTTCGATCAGGACTTTTTTTTCTTGTGTTTGGGGGACGACTCGTCAATTTTACAATCTCCATATTGGCGCGTTCTAGGCAGGCGTCAAATAGTGTTTCTTCAGACTTCGAGCATATCTTCTGGCTGCAGTGGAGGAGGGTGGGAATCTAGATGCTTGTTTTCCTTAGGCCGAAAATATTGAAGATGTTCTCTAATTGTGTTGGGTTTCTGTTTGGTGTGGTGTGTAAACTGGATGTGTGATATTTGCACAATGTATTTCAAACATAGGCTCTTTTGTTGTTTGCCACAATGGTTCTCCAATACATCCTTTCGCACACCGGGATTCTAATATAGGAGCTTCTCCCACGCTGCTGAACAAACAACTCTTTGAACATCTCTACATAACAGGAGGTATCTTTAAACCATGGGGAGCACTTCCCAGAGTACTCTTGCTTATACTATACCTTTTACATTTTATATAATAACAATACACTCACTCACTCACTCATTCACTCACTCATTCATTCAATCAATTAGTCAGTTAGTCAGCCAGCCAGTTGGTATATTTTACATGAATATCTCTATTATGCAGAATTCTTCTATTAATCTTACAATACAGTGCAGTAGTACGATTCATAGGTATTTAAATTTAAGACTTACTGGTTTACTTGTTGCTGCTTTGAGGAATCTATATTATTCCGAAACGTAGTCTTATTTTAAGTTTTATTTTTGTGGTCTTGTGACTATTGTGTATAGGGTAATGGATATAGCATTATAATATATGATGAATGATATAAGATATATATTTCTCATTCTCGTGGGTATATTTACTAGGTATTTACTCGAGTAATTAATTAGATACAAGAAATGTATTGGAATCGCTGGGAGTATTTTCTTGATTCAACATTGCTTATGTGGTTTTGAGGGAGTGAATTTGGTGAGTTTGGTGGGATGTAGAGATGGGAGGATGTGGAAGCTAGATAGATGTTTAATCTACTTTTTGCTTTGAGCTGTAGCTCTAGCTCTCATTCCTGTGCGACGGGATGTCCAGATCCAACTCATCTCTTCCGTATACCTTCCTCCCAGCAGCCAATCTACCCGCATCCTTAAAACTATCCACCCCCAAAATTAACCCCTCAATCATCCCAAACCCCCCTCTTCCTCCTCTCCTCCTCTTCTTTCCTCCTCCCCTCCTCCTCTCTCTCTTCTTTCCTCCTCCTAACCTCTTTCTCCCGCTGCACTCGCTCATATTCCCTCTGTTCCTCTGTCTTCTTCGGGACTCGCACACCCAATGCTCCTGCAATTAACCGTCGCGCTACTGCATCTGTTTTTTCCTGTCTGCGTTCGGGGCCCCGGGAGGTGCATGATGGGGATGAATATGGAGAGGAAGAGGAGGGACCAGGGTAGCCGTAGGGATTTTCGTATTCGATGGTTTGGGTTGTGGTGGAGGGTTTGGGTTTGGATGTCGATTTAGTTTTGGAAGGGGTTTTGGAGCTGGAGAATGAAGGGATATCCTCATTACTTCCCTCGGGTGGAGGGGATATAGGTGTAGGTGGTGGAGCGGCAGGAAATGAGGAAGTGGGTGAAAGTGGATTCGAGGTGTTTGTTGGTATTGAAGTCTCGTCTTCGGTTTCGGTGGAGGAGGAATCGGAGAATTCGTCTTCCCAAGAGTCGGCTATGGGGGTTTTGGTTTTCTTTGTGGTTTTGGAGGGGGGTTTGGTGGTGGAGGGGGAATTGATGGAGAGATTGTTGAGGGTGGTGGATAGGTCGTTTGCGGTGGTTGTCATGTTGGCGGTTGATGTGGTGTGTTGTATGTATATTCAGGAATTTGATTCGTTTCAATGGTAAAAGTTTGAGAAGTAATGTAGGTGTATGGACAATTGAACCAGTCGATATCCCAGTGCAGTAATGCTCGTATATTGAATAATCTAACCAACTCGTTCAATGTTCCAGAATCGAAAAGATAATGGACCCCGTGGTGTAATATCAGTTCAGCTATATACTGAAATATATAAGAATAGATGAAAATTTTTGTTTGGTGAAATACCTAGTAGTCAAAGGACTTGATATTAAATCCGCATAGTTAATATATGGTGCGAAACTCGAGTCATAGTAGCTCTCGAATCCGTCACTGGTAGCTTACCTAGTACTCGAGTGGTTACATAAGTAGATATTTTTGAGATCGGTATTTCTACGGATGAATAGTCAGAATCTAACCCAAAATGATTTCTGCACGTGAATGTAGGGATGGGAAATTTGTAATTGCCTAAAGCATAATAATCCAGCTCATTTTTCTTTGATAATAATCTAGCTCCCTTTATTATAATATAGATTTTTAATGTTTTTTTTTTTTTGAAAGGGAAATAGGATGAATCAATTGAAACACGTGATTGGGCAAATCGCGGAGGAACTTTTTCTTAAAGTGAATATTTTATATTGATTGGCTGTTCATGATGACTAATTCCTTTAAAAATAAAGCATATAATAATGAAGCTATACTGTTATTATACTTTATTGTAATCCAGCTCTGCTTTATATAAAGCGCCCATCCCTACGTGAATGATGGGATTGATGGGTTGGTTTCTAGCTTTTTGTTCAAATATCTAAGTAGGTAATAAAGATTATATACATTCATTGAGCTGGAGGTTCATTTGAGACTTACTTATAATTTATTTTATTTTATAAAATGACAGATTATTGATATTTTCACTAGTCCGTTTTCGTACAAGAGATGATAGAGTTGGAAGAGAGAATAGAGGTCCAGAATTCCAACTTTCAATTCAATGCATGCTTGTGAGATGATGCGTGTTTGTTCTCCCCACACTTTTTGAACCATGGCCTGTGTGTGTTTGAAGCTTGGAGGAACTGCAGCGGGTTTAATAAGTGAAGCCAGGTTCATCGGCGTTTTTTATTTCCGACAACCCACCTAAACAGTCTTAGGTAAAACTTTTGATTACTTCGTGAACATCATATTGATCTTTCTCTAACGGCAGGAACGGGTGTTTTGGAGTTCATTTACACATTCATTCGATTCATTCTATATTTTGTCTTTTGGTTGTACATAATAGATACGATTGTATCCTTCTTTTCAAGTACAAAAATAAGATATGATACGATCAAAGGCTCTCACGCGGGGTAGGTACGGCTACTCCAGCACGAGGACTTTGAAGTATTTTGTGAAAAATGGTGTATATGAGGATAGATATGGTCAAACAATTAAAAATTTGAAGATTGGAAATCATACTAGAGTTATCTTTCAAGGTTTTACAGGTATGCTGACTCCATTGACTATTTTTTTAATATGTATCATAGCTGGTGAGCTATCATGACTGACTGACTTGGTACAGGTAGACAGGTGAGGTTCCTAAAGTTGCCATCATCAATGATAATTCACTAATTTTAATCTTTCATCAAGGCTACAGCAAATGCAAAAGAATCAATAGAATGGGGAACTAATATAGTTGGTGGTGTGACACCTGGGAAGAACGGAGAGCACTTGGGATTACCGGTACTACCTACTGTAAAAGAGGAAAGTATGTCATGACTATGATGATTAGGACATTTCAAACTAATACACAAAAATAGGCAATGGAACAATTAAAACCAGATGCAACTGGAATATATGTAGCAGCTCATCAAGCACCAACCGCCATTGAGGAAGCAATTGAAGCAGAAGTTCCTCTTATTGTAGCCGTCGCTGAACACATTCCTCTTCATGATATGTTAAGAGTATGATTTTATGACTTTTCAATCAAACAGAACTGACATACTCAAGATACACAGTATACTAGACAGTCAATCAAAAAGTCGATTGGTTGGCGCAAATACTCCTGGTATTATATCAGCAATTGGAAAATGTCGAATTGGCTTCCAACCACTTTCTTGCTTCACACCTGGTCGAATAGGCATTGTTGCTAAATCAGGAACCTTAAGTTATGAAGGTAAGATCTTAGGCTGAGGTCTTGACATGTACTAACGATTAAGCCGTCGCTTCAACAACTAGGGCTGGACTTGGTCAAAGCCTCTGTATTGGAATGGGTGGGGATATTTTGGCTGGTACTAATTTTGTTGATGCTTTGAAGATTTTTGAACACGATGATGATACTGAAGGTATTATTATCATCGGTGAGCTTGGTGGTGAAGCGGAACTTGAGGCTGCAGCTTGGATTGAGGAGTATAAGAAGCGCTCGTTAAATCCCAAGTAAGATTCCTAAAGACCATTTTAGATTCTACTAACCTTTCGTAGACCTACCGCGGCACTAGTAGTTGGTAATCATGCTGTGCCCGGTAAGGTTATGGGTCATGCTGGAGCTTTTACTTTACCAGGAGAACCAGATGTATTGACAAAGATCAAGGCTTTCGAAAATGCAGGAGTTACCATGGTTAATCATCCAGCTAAATTTGGCAATGCTATGAAGACCTTGTTGGGGGATTCAGGACGAGCAAGCAGTGGCCTAGCTACAAGTAGTGTTTCTCAAAAGCGAAGCATGCACACAATGAGGATACGACCAACACCAGGAACTCCAACTATAAACATGGTGCAAAAGAGAACGATATATCTCAAAGAGGAAGATGCCTTTAAATTACTTGACCAAAAAGGAATTTCCGGAAGACAAGATCCTTCAAAAAAAGATCCAGTTCACCGCCACCTTACTATTAGTATTGATCGAAGCAACCGCTGTCCACAATTTATATTACAGGGACCGGTCAAGAAGAATGAAATCCCATCCAAACCAAAAAAGAGTCCCTTTCAATACGACTTAGGTATCACGACTGGTCTCAGACAAAAGTGCGCCACTCATCTCCAATTGGTGCATCAACATAAATTGTTGCATCCAATTATCTCCGGTTTATTTGAACTCTTCAAAGAAAAAGAAGCCTTCCTCCTCCAAACCACCATAAAAGGAGCACCTCCATGGAAAGAAAGATTCCAGCATAGAGTATCCATTGAACATGCAAATTTTGGTTTCGACGACGCCGCCTTCAAAAGCGCAAATCGTCACTCCGAAATTCACTCCCTCCCTCGAGCAGATATCCAAGATCCTGCTGAAACAGAAGCTCAAAAACATGGTATAGTATACATCAAACTCGCAGGCGATGGCAATATTGGTACACTAGTCAATGGTGCAGGATTAGCTATGAATACTGTAGATGCATTAGCGGATGCAGGAGGTAAAGCTGCGAATTTCTTGGATACAGGGGGAAAAGCAACGGCGGAAACGGTGAAGAAGAGTTTCGAGGTCATTTTGAGGGATGAGAGGGTAAAAGTGGTTTTTGTTAATATTTTTGGGGGTTTGACTTTAGGGGATATGATTGCTGAGGGGATACTTTTGGCGTTTGGGGAGTTGGGGGTGAGGGTGCCGGTGGTGGTTAGGATTAGGGGGACGAATGAGAAGGAGGGGCAGAAGATTGTGAGTTTTTTTATATATTTTTTTTATTCTTTGCTCGTGATTGTACTTATGATCGTGCTTGTTCTACGGTTTATAGGAGGGCTTAGGTGGAGAAAGAGAAGGAGAATGAAGAACAAATAGGTACATGACATGCTAACTAACATTTCCTTCACATTCTAGATTGCCGAAAGTGGATTACCCCTATACGCATACGATGATTTTGACGAAGCTGCAGCAAAGGTGATAGAATTAGCTAATTCAAGCGATTCTTAGAAGTTAGAAGTACTCTTTTTGCTTAGATTATCTATTAATTAGAAATCATTAATAAGAGACTCTCAAACATGAAAATCGCAAATCGAATTTTTAGGGTATGAGGAAGTATTAATAATAAGGGGGAGGGGATTGGTAAAGAGGTTGATGTAATGGATGGTTTTGTTTTGGTATATGTATAATTATAAATATATATATATATATATTGAGTATAAATCTTCCTTTAAAAATAAATAAAATCTTATAAATTAAATTAAATTCTATAAAATAAAAGTTTAATATATAACGTAACTTATGGTGAACCGGGTCATATGGGGAACCGGGTCATAATTAGCCCATCACTAACTTCAAACTATAATAATTTTTGCTATGCGTCTCAAACCACCTCTTACACCTTCTCAAATTGAAGAGAAGATACAGAATGCTATTATTGCACTTCAATTAAAGGAATTTGATTCAATTAGAAAGACTGTAGAGCATTTTGAAGTTCCTAAGTTAACTTTCATAGCTAGGATCGCTGGAAGGAAATCACGTATCTAATCTTACGAAATGGCTCAAATTCTTTCAAACGCAGAAGAAAATACATTAGTATAATGGATCTCACATCTTACTATTATTGGATTCCCTATTATACCTATATTGATGAAGGAAATGGTTGACGAAATTCGTATTCGATATATCCAAGTCGTATTCTCTCCAAACCCTACCTCGACAAATATTCCACTTATAGATTACGAATGAATTTATAGGTTCCAAAAAAAAACATCCAGAACTTAAAGCATATTATTCATATCAATTAAAGTCTAATCAAACTAAAGAGGCAACTCCAAAGAATATTCAGGCTTAGTTTGATATATTCCAAATATATCTCATTAAGCGAAAGTATAAATTAAATGATATATATAATATAAACGAAACCGGATTTGCAATCGGAGGTATTCAAAGTACTTGTATTATAGTCGATTCTACTCAGAAATCGAATTGGAAGATTATAGTTGGTAAGCAAGAATAGATAACTGTACTTGAATATATTAATGCAATTGGAAAGACTTTATTATCTATAATCATTTTCAAGGCTCAAAATATGAATACTATATGGATTCCAAAGGATACATTTCAAGATTGATAGTTCTCTATTAGCATAAGTAAATGAACCTCAAATAATTATAGATTAGAATAGTTATAAAGGGTTTTCGAGCCGGAATCCAAGAAAGTGTCAGGTGATCAGCCTCGACTTTTAATCATGGATGGTCATTCAAATCATATTACAAGCAATCTAATTGCTTTTTGTATAGAAAAGGATATCGATTTGCTTATTGTGTGAACGAAGTGAATGACTTCAATTCAATTACTACTGTAATAAAGAACTAAGCGAACGCGAAAGAGACTAGCTCTTTTAGTAAGTCTATATAAGACTTACTACTTTCAATATGTAGCTAGCTCTTTAGACAGAATACAATTAGACATACAGGACCTACGTAATCCGTGGGTGCTACGTCTTCCGTATCCTTCTCGTACCAACACTTATACTATCCTTTCATTGCTTTCATTTGCTTCAACCTTTTGATATTGGAGTATATAGGCTAATAAAACGATATCATTCTTTAGAGGTCGATCGATATTCTCGAGCTAGTGTAAAACGAATCCAAAGAGCTGAATAGATAGAATTATTTCAAAAGATCAGAATAAAAACAGTCAACTCTTTTAATATTAAAGTTAATTGAAGAAGAGCTGATTTAATACCTTTTTCCTTACGAAAAATATTTGATATATTACCATTTAACCCCTTTCAACAATCTTTTATTTTACAAATAAGAATTACCAATCAAGGTCTAGGCTTTTCTATACTCCGAAGTTCTCCTTCAGATGGGACAGAACTAAGGCAAGCAAATCAGATTTTTAATTTAGTTCTAGTAGACAGTGATTCTCCTATATTATCAATTCGTCGATATGTCAAGGGAATGATTACGCTTGTAGAATCTCAAAATGCTGAGATAACCCTACTTCGGAAATAGCTCGCTGATGTTCAGAAGGTAATCGAGACTCGAAAGAAAAGAACTAAAGGCAAAAGGATCAAATTACAAGGCCAATTCGTTTTTAGTACTAAGGAAGTATTGAAAATCGTATGTGAAACAAAGGAGAAGCCTAAGGAGAAAAGGCTACGAGGACGGCTATGTAAACGTTCAATTGAAGAATTAGAAGAGAGTACTGAAGAGGAAGAGCTAGAGAATAGTTCAAGCGATTTAGAGTTGGAATTAGATGAATGTGTAGCTTGTAGAACTAGATCGCATAGAGAAAATTGAATTTTGTGACCCGGTTCACCATAAGTTACTTTATATATATATATATAAAACTTTCAAATGTTTATTATGAGTTTTTGCAGTGGTGTAAAATGAAGCAACGGCCATTATCTATGCGCAAGTTGTACTGTAGATGAGTGAGTTGTTGTGTACTGGAGTGGAGTGGAGTGATGTATTTTTTCTGTAGTTATATTATCTTGGTAGGGGAATGATGAGTGAGGTGATATGGGGGGAATATATATTAGTTTTGAGGAGTCGTGTCATTTGAATGATTTGATAATTAATTTTTCTTTCCTTTTCTTTCTTATTTCATGTCTCTGTTTTCGAACTTTAAATTATATACATGTACTTCTAATAGAGTACACGTATTTTCGGTCTTAAAATTCTAACCCGTAGAATAGAAAAATAGACTTAATAGTTTTATATATATACTTATTAATATTTACATTTTCCGTCTATCTTCATTATCTACGCCACTCGGTTAATAGTTCTATAATTTTGGAATTTGTTTCACAGTCATGTTATGGTATTTGTTGAGGATCTTCGTTTTTTCTAAGTAAAGTACATATATAGTTTATTATTCGTGGAATAGGTAAGTTCTAATAATATGTCTAACACATGGTTTAAACGGAAATGCAGATTGGGAATCTCGCTAGTGCATGAGAAGACGATAAGGGAGAGTTGAGTTTGTTGTTTGATTTTGGGGTTTGCTGGTAATTAGTATTTAAGTAGTATATAATTATGATGTTCTGGAATTTTGCCCTTGGTTATGGGATGATTGTTGGAAATCAGGAGTCGGAATGTAGAGGACTAGATGGGTAAAAGTGATGTGATGAAAACTGGTTGGGATGAGTATGAATATGATCAGACTATTCTCTCCGAGGACGAATATCTGATAATTTGTGATATAAATTTTGGGTAGTAGTAGCTACCATCTTCACATAGATTCCAGACACAGATTCAGATGTATGGCCCTTTTCTCGAGGATATCATAGTGGATGGAGATATGATGGTAGGTAGCGTTGAAGTGAGGGTTTCTGGTTCGAGGTAAGATTACTGTGGAGAGGGATATTTATGTATTGATGTTAATTAAGGGATTGACAAGAACTTTCTGAGACTTTAGAGAAGAGAGATAAATAGAGATTGAGGGAAAATAGAAAAACTTGTTAGTGCAAGCTATTGCGTTATTGCTAATCTTATGCATCTACAGTTGACTATTTTTAGGGAGATGATAGTATTTACTGTCTCTCCTAGCCTCTCTTTAAAATACTCATATTTCGAAAGATCAACTAATTGATGTATTTAGTAGTATAATAGAAGGATCAAAGGCTGCTGGAGGTCTTTGAGGTGCTCGCTTCATCCTTTGTTCTACTCATGTGTATGATTTATATTTGGGGATACGGTTGGATATGTAATCGGTATATATGCTAGTGGTAATAGTCGGTGCTCATAAACGACCGACCACTTCGTAGTCAGGGAAAGCAAGTGTCCCTGTGAGATTTTTTTGATAATAAAATGGTGATTTAGATGATGAAAAATGATCAATTTTAACAATAATACTTTTAGTTTAGGTAATAAAATCAACAATTTTGAAATGATATAATAAATTTTTATATTATCAAATTCAATTTAATGATATAAATCTAATGAAATTTTTATTGTATTAATTTAAAAATTGATAGTTGTATATTCAAAATAAGATTTTTCGAATGTAGAATTTTGAGGATTTTGATAAATCTACTACCAAAAAATCTCACGGGGACACTTGCTTTTCCCGACTACGAAGTGGTCGGTCAATTAACCGACTATTATCTAGTGGTTTGGAATTGGCATAGAAAAGGGCGATGATTAAATCTACTAGGTACTTGGGATGAACAGCACCTTTACCTGTCTTTAGACGATCTCCAGAGTTATGTTATTTATAGATCCTCAAAAAGACATTAATAATAGTTAGTGTAAGGAGATATCGCCTTCTACACGGTATATTCTATCTCCAACGAAAATGCCTAGAAATTTTACAATTTGTCGCACTGCATAGCCATACCTTAACACAGGAAGCCCCGTAAGCTCCTTAAGTTTGAGGAGAGTTTAGGTTCGACCCAGGAACTTCGGAGCGAGATACAATATCTCAAACAGGTGGAGACAAGGGCTTTTTGAGGTCAACCAAGGCATTATGGCATTCATATGCTCGTCCTCGGCGGTGGTGAATATATAAAGTAGCCAGTATATCTTGGCTACACTCTGCTCAAATGGTCCATCTTCCCATGCTGCAAATCTTGCACAGTTCCTATTAATTTGATAAAGCATCTCATGTATTAAATTTGAGAATACGGTTCTTTTCTTCTTTATAGTTGAACTTTACTATGCGGACTTGAGCCGCATGTTCACCACATAGATCTAACAGAAAAGAAACCTTCAAATACTTGGGTATCCACTGTAGAAGTTTGATGTCCACAGGCGAGATCAAATTTGAGTCCTGGGATTCTAATTTGGAATGGAAATCATGACACCGAGAATCACCTTTGATATTATGCCATTATTGGATTAGATTAAACATAAATATAATATACTATTCCAGAAATTTGTGTAGGAGCGCGTGGAAATGTAAGAAACTTAGAAACTTATTTTATGGTATATTAGATATGTAAATTGATAGTAACAGTGCATAATTTTGAAACCTTAACCGTCAAGTATTAGCTCAAATTTCAGTTCAAGGGTTTACAATATTAAGCTTGAATAATTAGCCCTTGAAGCTATTCCGAAGCCCGAAGTAAGACTTACAAGGCTCATATTTCCGTTTGGATTTGTGAAACTATCAAATCACAATTGAAGTTATCATTCGGAGCTCTAACTACACAACTCAGCGTCTTATACACAGCTTAAAAATTATGAAATTATGCATCTAAAGTTCTCCTTAAAGAATGCGGCTGAAAGTTTCCTAACCATCCACGAAAAGTAGGGAGCTGACTCATATTGCCAACATCTACCCCGCTCTCCCCGCTGTTACGAATCAATGATTTACGCATGACCAGGGCCTCACTACCCCGCAGTAACACATCCATAAACACTTGTACAGCTTATCAATCCATAACTTTCATATATGTTGGGCTGAAAGACTTCCCAGAAAAACCGAGCATTTCCATCGTTTTCACTTGAAAGCTTTCCGAAAATTTCTCATTTTTCGGGCGTGTAGTGCGGTCGAACGAACCGGAAAATTACAAACCTACTTCTTCAAGCTATATTTTATAGGCCTTAGTCATTATTGGCTATTAATACTTCCATCCCGGCAGAGTAATATGCGACTACTCAGTGCGAAAATTACGGAGCCCCTTCAGCTAGAGGAATTTCTTCAAAACAATACCCCCACCTACGCTATTCTTTCTCACAGATGGGAGGAAGATGAAGTGACATTTGAATACATAAAAAAGGAGGCATTTAATCAGAAGAAAGGTTTTGCAAAACTTGATGGATGTCGCAAAAAAGCTATGCAAGATGGATACGATTGGATCTGGGTTGGCACTTGCTGCATCGACAAATCGAGCTCCGCAGAACTCAGCGAAGCTATCAACTCAATGTACCGCTGGTACCAAAGCTCTGCTATTTGTTACGCATACCTATCAGACGTGGAAGAGATCAATTCTTTAGAGAAAAGTCAGTGGTTCACTCGTGGTTGGACATTACAAGAACTTATAGCACCGCGTCACGTCATTCTATTCGATATGCAGTGATGCTCACTTGGAACAAAGCATGATCTTGCACAGGAAATGACAAAAATTACAAATATCCCTAAATCTATTATACTAGGGAAGTATCCGACCCATTGCAACGTTGCTCAGCGAATGTCATGGGCTTCCAAACGACAAACTACTCGAGAAGAAGATATGGCATACTGCTTGATGGGACTATTTGACGTACACATGCCGCCGATATATGGGGAGGGATCTGAGAAGGCTTTTCTTCGACCTCAGCAAGAGATACTTGGGCGGAATTCAGATCAAACTTTGTTTTTGTGGGTCCCGTCTCATGAACCCTACAATCAGGGTCTGCTAGCAACTTCTCCAAGAGGATTCTGTACCGATTACAAATGCTTCGATTGGCTAGAACAATTCGTGCCAGCTAAAGACCCTCTCTTCAAGAAAAACCGAGATGATCCAAATCCATACGATTTATTCGCTCCGATGAAGTATACGCTTGGTAGTCGTTACTATAATGATGAAGAATAGGGGTTTGTTGATGGTCCATTAGTTGATGTGCAATCTAATTTTGGGTCTAATGGCCTAGAATTACAACTTCTTTCCTACGGCAGCGATCAAGTCTTGAACACCAACGAACCACCCAAAAAGATTGTCGTGGTCCTCGATGTCTTCGTCCAGTTATCTTACTTTCACACCAGCATCTCCTTGGTACTAGAGCGGGACACGGACCGAGATACCGGATTTATTTTAGATCGATTGGGAACTATGCAACGACTAATTTGCACGGAAAAGGGTTCCATACCTCTACTAGGCATCACTGTGCCCTCAAAAAGGAAATTAATTTCAATTTCTCAGATACCTGTATCAGCGCCTGGTAGCCCTGCCAAGTTCAGATTTAGTGTCCCATTTCCTGAAATAGTCTCGAAAGAAAGCGTGATTTGGCAAGCGGCAGACTCGGAAAGCCTCCTATGTTCTTCAACTGAGACCTTTGAGTGCATCGGGGGTGTCGTTTTGATTAATCATGTATGCCCAAAAAGGGATAAAGTCGAAAATCTAATCCTGGCATTTGGAACTCGAGGAAAACTTTCACCCGTATGGACCACTTTAATGGAAGTTGATGCTAACGATGTAACTGATCCATCTGTCAAGGAGGGCTATGGCACAGTGAACCTTCTAAATTCTAGAGACTATGAACGAGCAGACTTTTTCTTGGATGATTGCAAGCATACAATATGTGTGGATATTCATTATGGTCCAACTGACAATTGTCATGTCATCCATGTAGAAGAAACTTTGGGGCATCTGTATCGAGACCATAGTTCAACCGCTGAAGCATCGAGTGAGGGCGTCTGAAAGACTTCCATGACTAAAATAAAGCTCTCGATGGAAGACGTTTGTGTGTGATAGTTTGATGGAGTATCACTTCTCTTGTGGTTGAATTATTTTGATATACCATTCAAAACTACAAAGGGAAATTAAACTGAGAATCGTGGTGATAAATTTAGTGGGAGAAGAAAGTGATAGCTTGAACTGGATTTTTTTGGGGGGGGTTTTTTTTTACCATTTTGAACTTCGCACTACGTGTTTCACTTGGAAATTTTTTGGGCTTTGTCAGGACTCAGGACACAGACCGAATAACTAATGGATAAGGGTTTATGAGTTCTGTTTTTTTTTTTGTCATATAAAGAAGCTACTTAGGGTTCATTGATAGCATTATTATATATCACTTCGTGCTGTGCACCTCGCACACAAGTACTGACAAAACAACATTGGTAAAGCGGGACCTAGCTCCTAGAGAAGAACTCCTAACTTCAGGTTCTATTAGGTTTGTTTGTATTGCTAGGCTTATCTTACGCGCAGTTTGAACTATATATAAGTCAAAAGCTTCACAGATAATGAGAGATCGATTTATCAATAAGCTATGACGCTAGTAAGAGATACCTTGGTCGGGATAACATCATCGATACACTTGGAATCAACATGGCTTCTCTTCAGTGAATTGTACCAATTTTTAATGGTGGTGGTAATTGAATACTACGTGGTAGCCAGGATTAGATTGAATTGAAGGAGATGGTTGCTAGGAGTCTCATTGCTTGTGTTTATAGGCTGTTATTTGTGGTTCAATTATATTCCAGGGTAACTAATTTACTTACCGTGTCTTGCTCATAATCAATACAATCTTTCCAGCACTGAAGATTCCTATCTCAATGCTCCCTAACAATTTCCTTGCTCTATATCTCGTCAAAACAAGTAGACCATTTTCTTGAAGGTGTTTTATCGAAATCCTCCACGTGCCTGACTAAACGCTTGAATTTCATCGCGATTAATCCTTAGATAACTGGCTTGGGATGAGAATACTGTAGTACATATCTCGACAAAGAGTTGTTGGAACTTTGTTAGCCTTATCTATTCTGGTTGTCCATTACTGTTCCACCAGAAGCTTATTCTGGGAAATTATATTTATACCTCTGCTACTCCTTATCTTACTGTTTTCTCCAGTTTTGGTCCTGTTGGCTTGTTGCTTCTTACCCTCATGTTCATAGGAACAAGTGTATTTTCGTACGGGCATGATTTGTGTCAAAGAGGAGTATGTGTGACGAGAAGAAACGAGGTGGAATGCGCCTTGGTGAATATGTATTCCCCGCTGAATATGGAGAAGCGTGGTGATAACATAGCTTTCTGTCTAAGATTTTAAACTTAGTGACGATGCTTGAAAGTTGGCGGGCGTCTAAAAATGGGATGGTGGTCGAGTAATCCAACAGATCTGAACCATAGAGAGGTTTGAAATTTAAAACATCAGTTCTTCTGGCTACAGTAGACACCAATAACTGGAACATGGTATGAAATCTCGTCAGACCGTTGATATCGTAGTTACAACCTTTCTTCCGAGCTCCTGAACTGGCAGAATAAAAACGTCATGGTGGAAGCAATGTGCTGTTGGGGTTTAGTAAGGGATTTATTTGCCATTTGAATACTAGATTGTTGCTGCCAAGTCAGATTTGCCGCCAATGCAGCACATTTGGGGGGTCGGGGAGCCCTTTGATCTTACGGAAAAGAGGTGCTATGATACTTTGTATTTCACGCATGTTAGTTGCACTACCAAAAGTGACAACTGCCGTGGTTTCTTTCATCTATCATGCTACTCCGAGATTCGATATGACCTACCGCTCAAATTCACTCCACCCCTCAGATTGAACAATGCCAGGTAGCTAAATTTATCAGATCGCACTCAAAAGATTCGGAAAACACTCCATCAAAAGATCGCGCGATACATGCTTTCTTTGTAGCCCGAGAAAAATGATATTCCTGTTGGAGACTATAAATCGTACAGATTTGCCATTTTTGATGACAACTTACTGGCTCAGGGCATGTAGTAAGATCTAAAGGCTTGCAATTTGGCTGGAGATGTTGATATGCTCTACACAATCATAATTCATGATTTGAACAGACTAGATTCTTGTTTTATACAGTTTTGATTTATGATTATAAGGTCTTTTAGAGTTGCAGTAGTGGTATAATAGGAAGAATCATGAAATATAAAAAAAGCTTCGCTAAATTTGAAATCACAATTAAACAGGCGATGAATGATATTGTTGGCGTGTAATAAAGTCGAGTACATGTACTAAATGCTGCTCTTTTTCCTGCAACAATCGTAGTCACACATAAACTTTACTCTCGCAAAATCAGTACATACAGGTTTTCCCTCAAGATGATTTCATTCACGGATAATACATAAATCAAATCTACTTTGTGGAATTGTTCCTCGCTCCTAACGTTGATAAAAAAAAAGGGGCTCGCTTAACGTGGCGATCAAGCAAGAGCCAAATGTCTGTCTTGGCATCGAGTATATATTGGTGTGAAGTTTTCTTAGAATCTAAGATTTCTACGACCCTCATATGCATATACCTGCATCTGCATATAAGTAATTGTGTTGCTAATATTTAAAAATGCAGCGATGAAAGTCTTTACTGGCAGCAAGAATAGCAGTGAAGTAGTCACAATCATTCCGATTTTGAGCTTGGATCCTCGTCCCGATGACTAAAGTAGCTATCGACATTAAATTTCTCGGAATTAGCGATTTGAAATTACGCTAGAGACTTCATGCGCCTTTTTTTCCTAAAGGACTTAGATGCCTACTAACTTCTCACTTAGTGTGGGCGGATGCTGTGGGCGGCTGGGTGGGGTTCCTGGATCCCGATAGCGCACTGCGAGGGGGATGGAACAGGAAACTGATTATATTACATTGTAGAGGATTCAAATAGAAGAACTAATGGATTTAATAATAGGCTGGGTTGAGTTCAAGGGGGTCAAAAAAAGACTTGTGGAAAACGATTGATTATTCCAGGAAAAAAAGTGGAGTCCTCTCTGCTGTCTAATTACCTAGAGTCATTTGATTATAGAATTCTAAACTATTAGCTACATTTTTGGCCTCAGTATCTCAACTTCTTTGCAATAATTATGATCCTTATTTTCTATACCCCACGTAAGACTATTATTGTACAACGCTGTGAGTGGCATATTGAGTAAGAGGCCAAGCTACAAATTAGTAGTGGTGAAATTCGTATGTTCTTAGTTTTAGATCTTGCCACAAAAGAATGATATAACTCTAATTCTGTACCTCAGCTTTGCTGAAATTTTTGAAGCCGGCTTAGTGACCATGTATTTTACTCTTTAACAGATCGTTGATACCAAGATAGTATATAAGGCAATGATAAAAGTATACTAGCTCATAATGGCTCCATGTGGCAAGGCGCGAAAGAGCCGGGAAATATTTAGGGAGTAGGGCGCAAAAAATGGGACTCAGACTGGAGCAGGTAAATATCCACAGCATTAGGTAAGTCTATTTGTCAATGAAACTTATGGTTGTATTTTTGGCAACGGATTAGAATGCAACCTCTCTTGCCATTGTTTACGAAGAGCTAAATTATCTTGGGGCAACTGTCTTGAAACGCGTTCATCTCTTTCCTGACCCACGCTTTTGACTTTTAACTGTTGACCCGTGAGAATAGCCATACATTGATGGACTGTACAAAGAAATTTTTGATTTCCTCACATATGCATAACACGATGTTTTAAAATTTTCCTTCAGGTCGGCTGAACTTCTCATATGGCCACCCACTCACTCTATCGCCCTCATTCCGCTCGGGTAGAGCCACGAGCCTTAACTGACACCAAGGGAACTGATTTTCAAAAAAAAAAAGTCTTCGGATGTGAAGTAACGGCCCATTTTGAGAGGAATTAAAACCCAGTGTACTAGTTTTCTGGTCAAATCATGTACTCTAGAGTTTTTTGTATAGTAGCGCAATCTTCGGACAATATTTTGGGTGTTGAATTGATGTGTCTGGATACTCTGCGCTTCTTTCACCTTAATTTCGGATTAAACACAATTCATATTACCCACTAGGTAGTTTTCGCTTTTCCTCCTCCATCTTCCTTCCGATTGTATGAACCAACAACGTAAATAGACTTCGCACTCCGAGTATTCCAAGTAAGACAAATTTGTGAGGTGGAAAGTCATTAATCTTTAATGGTGTAACCTTGTTGTCATATTAACTTAGAAAGCTTGGGACTTTTGAAGCTATGCTCAAGTACCTAAATCGTTGACGTGTTGCAATTAATATTGTTCTGAGGCACTGCCAGAATTTATCGACCGAAAAAAAAATGATTTAGAGCTAAGAGCTACTCTGAAAGATGCTTGGCAGTATTTCGATCCCCGTCCGTTTGACCTGAATCAGCTGCGACATTACATCCCCAAATTATAAGTTTCAAGCCCATTTTCGTCACCTTACCAACATTTTTTTGTTTTTCCGATATTCGAGCTTTGGTATTTGAGTTTGTGGAGGAAACACTTATGTGCTCGGTGGTATTATTAAGCTTCTCCATTAGATCGTACACTCCCATTGAATAACCATTACAATAGTCACACATCATTAGGCCATTTCATCTATTTACTTTTTTTGGGGGGAATTAGCATAAATAATCGTGTGAAAGTTAAAAACTTTTCTCATGATGTAGATGAACTCAAAAAATCTTTTCCGTGGGGCTAGCTTCTGGGAAGTACTCTCTTTGATAACTTGAATTCGCTTGACGGTCACCCTTTACTACTCTAAACAGTAATACAGGGGGGGTGATAGCAGGATAAACAAGGATATCACTTTCACTTAACCGCAAATCTAGCCCCTAACAGTCTGCTTAGGTCCAGTGCTTGATATTTAGCAAATGGAACCTTTCAGAACCTACAAGTTCTCCTCACTCAGGGCTTTCCAAACACATTTTTGCTGCATATCTACAAATTCACCTGAAAAGGCCTCATCCCGACAAGTGTATAAGTGGTATCTCGATAGTATGTAGCCATAATATTAGAGAAAATTAGTCCGGAGCCATTATCCTTTTGGTGCCGGCGGCTGGGGCTAGTATATCTTATGGTCTAGGAAATGCGTCCACTCACAGCCCAAGAAAGTCTCATTTTGCATATCTATAATTGAGCAACAGATAGTATACCGCTTCTTGAGGGCTTACAGATCCAAAATTATGAAAAGTTTGATTTCCCGGTATCAATCTGGGCCACTTTCAAATAGCTTTTCCTAGGGTCGGTAACCAAAGCCCATTTAGCGCTTCGACGTCTTTGATGTTCTCGATTTCGAGGAAAGTGCGATGTTGCGGATCTATGTTTCCATTTACAGATATCATGCTGGTATCATATGTGATAATAAATCCACGAATCCGTACGGAGTTTAAACGTATTAATGATTAGAGCGGCGTAACGTATAAAAAAAAAGGTAGGCTTTATAACCGAAAAGACAATAAGATAAATGATTAGTTTACTAAAGACCTGTAACCGCGCAGCAGGAAGATTCAAGCCCTAGATGAAATCCCCAAAAATCGGGGTATTGGAGTCTCCGAACTGAGAGACCTCGGGTCGATGAAGTGAAAAAAAAATATGTCTTTAGGTCCAAACGCTTGAGTCAAACCGACCACAATTAGTAAAATTTTTAAGCCAAAACTAGCCATTCCAGGCCTGGAAACCACGACTAGCACTTCCAATCAACCACTCAAAATCCTCAGAAGATTTTTGTTGCACATCTACATGTCCGTGTACAAGTAATATCCTCGCAAGTGCGGTTTTTATACTTGTAAAAGTGATTCATTATACTGTCAAATTTTATCTAAATATCGAGAACTAAAGAATTAAGGTCTTCCACTTGTGGTTTAGCACCTTAATTATGGTACCTGCTCAGAGTCAGATTTTGAAATTTCTTTGCCGGAGGAGTATTTAGTATGGCAGCGGTCTCGAGTCCTAAATGATTGGTTTTTCTAGTTTCAAAACTAAGTTAGTGAACAGTATTGTCTTTTACTCTAAAGCCTTTGATGGGTTATGTTGCATATCTACATATTCAATATGCAGCTCGATCCTAGCAAATGCGTGGGTAATAGACGTCACAGTTCTTGAAAAAGGTGAATTTTGATTGATTGGGAAACCTATCTAACTCAAACATCCCGCTTTCTTTATATCCGCCACTCACACAAAATTATTATTTAAAACACCTCACAGAGGCCTCTCGATAATCATATGTTGCATATCTGCATTCTGAAGGTATAGAACTCATCCCAACAAGAATACAAATTTCACCCAAGACAACTAGTAAACCATTAATCTAGAATCTAAGCCATAAATCAATAGGCAAATGGGGTATCGGAAGTGAAACAAGACTTTCTTGAATCCCCTGTCTCCTATGCTATATAGTCGGCCAGAAACACCGTGATTGGAAATTACCTTCTATTATATCAGTTTTTACATAGCCTCGTCGTAAATTATTAAGCTGGTTAGAAAGGTTCGTAGCACATGATCATAGCTTCGTCGCTGTCATATCTGGCCCTCTCGTCATAAAAGCACCGCTTGAGTCCAGTATTCTCCTTAGATTACCATCTACTATAGTCCATTCATAAGTCAAACTAAGTTCGACAGAGAGTGACGAACCGTCTGCGGCCCATACCATAAATCCCATACCCGTTTTGCATCTAGCAAAATGTTAAGTCCATTCCATATCGACAGTTCATTCTTCGCCGCGAACTCAAAACTTAATCATTCCATCCAAAATGTCATCTTATCCTATGCTCAAACAAAATGCCTCCATCTTTATCCGCCACACTTTCCCTTTCTGAAAATGGCTCCAGAAGATCCGATCTCGACAATTACCCTCTAAACTCCAACTGTAAACTTATATCCTGCCAATCCAACAACGCAATGATGATGAACATCAAATTAATGATAGCCAATAACCAAAGAGAGAATTTTATGCCAAAGTTGTATTCCGCGTGAAGTACACCCTTTTCCATGTTCGGCATCGATCATCCTGGATAGGGGAAACCCAAGAGGGCATTTTGCGCCGGCGGGCGACTGATGGGTAGTGGGAAGGGCTTGTGTAGGAAAGATATGGATATGATAGATTTAGAATTCGTAACTTTGTCATTTTCCTTGTCTTCTTTTTCCTTCTTGACTTTCTTCTCAGTGTCCAATCGGTGACGCATGCGTTATTCGCGTGATGGCTTTCATTCCTTGGAGTTGAATGCATTCTACGTCAGTTTTTAGGTTTTGATATGAGGTGATATGTTGATATACTCCACTATTGGATGTATTTATGCGGGCACATTAGAAAACATAATAATAACATATGGGCTAAAGCTACCAATAATTAAGTAACTCTGTGCCATGCCCGGAGCTCTTAAGACATATGCAAAACAATCAGACGGCAAGGAACGTGGCAACAATTGACCGATCCCTCGTATGCCACCGCAGCGCCTTGAAAGTACTTGAAAAGGGTTTCATCTCGTTACAAATTCATGCAAAAAATCGGTTTGCTGCATGATATCAAGAAAGAACATAGCTACCCGCCCACATTCCGCAGCATCACTATGAATCTGTTTGAAGAATAGACAATGCATTTGATGAGTAGACGGTGGCTTACTTGAGCACCTCATCTGGGCAAGGCGTGATAAACTTGAGATTGGTATAAATTATCTGGTGATATATCGTCCACTCGGACTTGTGCCAAATTCCCAGATGATACCAATGCAGCTTGACCGACTGGGCAAGGCTGCTAATGACCTTTGAAGAAAGTCTGTACTACCGAAGATCGAGACAGCTCATGAATTTTCCCCATGTAAACCTGAAGGATAGTCTAAAACCAGCATTTGCCCTCGTTGTCCTTGCTTTATCCTGCATTTCCGGGACAACCGGTGTTACAATTGTTATGTCAAGCTGGTGAAAGATAATGCAAGGAAGAGGAGGTGAGTAAGATTTCCCAATCATTCGTCAAACCCTTTGAGGAAAATATGGTAAAGTTGCCAAATACCGGTACTCCAAATAATTTATGTGAACGTGCCAAAAGCCAAAAGAAGAGCAACAAACGTTGTGGTCGAAGCTCGTCTACTTCGTACATTGAATCAACCCCGCCTCAAATTTGATAAAACCACACCCTCTAAAATCCTGCCCGCAAATTCAAAGACGTCACCAAAACATCCTAGCTTAATTGAGCTTCTAGAAGCTGTCGTGCGAGTATTCATAGTTACACCTACTTCACATCTGTACCACAACGAAAACAAGGCAACACATCTGCAATTACCCTCACCGACTTCTTAAAAACTTCTCACATTCCTCAACATATCAATATCCTCGCCAGCATGGTTCTCGAGAACTCATCTTCTAAAGAGGTAAACGAATCATTCGACTCAATTCCTACATCCGACAGCGATCCTTATGCGTCTTCAGAACAAGGTCAAGGTGAAGGCCAAGGTACGGGTATAGAGATGTACAGAATCCAAACCAGTACATTACCTAAACCTTTACCGATATTCGGTCCTCTATTCGGTTTCAATGATACCTTTCTAAGCAAGATCGTCAATGCCCGGGTCCAGAATGCAATCAAAGTTACAAACCGGCCTCTAAGACATGAAGAAATCGACGCCCTTGCATATCACACGGCGAAAATCATCAGAATTAATTCATTCGCTCCTGTTGCAGGATTATCTGCGGGAATCTACAGAGCAACTCAAACTGCCGCCACTTTCCGATTTCCATTCTATCAACCAAACCTTGAAACGTTCAATTCAAGTGTATTCCCACATCCGCGAATGCCTTACATCAGGGGATTTCCGGCAATCATTGCCTGGCATACATTTAGAGGTTTATGTTATTGTTATGTAGGACAAACGGTATCAAAATTGCTAATTGGAGCATATGCGGCTAGTGTAGGGGCAGTAGGACAAATGGGTGATAAACGATTAAAAGATATTGTAAAAGCTACTACGGAAGAAGTTGCCAGAACTCAAAAGAATCTACCTAGTCCAGCAGGAATCCCAAGACCACGAATGAAGCCGGGACAAGGACAAGGACAATCACAAAGTGGAAATACTCAGGATTATGATGATGCTAGTCCAACGGGTGGCGATTGGTATGGAGATGATACACCGGGATCTGCACAATCAACCCCTCAGACTTTTCCGCCCATGAAACCACAAAGTAGACAATTCCCCAAACAAGCTTCAGCACAAGCACCAGCCAACGCACCAGCACAAGAAGAAGAAAGGCCATTCGATTTATTCGATGACGCATCACCTACCAGTGGACAAGAAATGGATACCAATACAAGCACATCTCAAACTTCCAAAGCAACCTCAGGTTCAGCATGGGAACGAATTCGTCGTGGTGAAAAACTTGGTTCTAATATCAATACACCTACACAATCTCGACAATCTGGTGGGACTAAAAATACACCTAAAGCTTCTGAAATAGCAAGTACAGATAGTTTTACATTTTCCAAAACAGAAGAAGAGAGAAATTTGGCGCAATTGGAGGCGCAGAAGGAATTTGATGCGAGAGTTGAGAAGGAGAGAAGGGGTGGGGATTTTAGTAGTGCTGGAGATCAGAAGAAATGGTGAAGTGGGATTTGAATATTGTATGACTGTATGATTATTTGAGTTGAATTATTAAATACTTATGAATATTGAGTGTTTAAGTTATATGTGTATTTATGAATTTTATTTAAATTGAATTAAAATGAAATAAATAAAGATATCTCTTTATTTCTTGATTGAATTTAATATTTTATTTTCAAATGTGTTAAAAGGAATGACCTCACACAGGGAATAGTGGGAAGCTGATAGGGCAGAACTGAGGTAATATTGGTCTAGTAGTGTGACCAAAAGGGTGTTTATAGACCAGCAATTGTATTTAACTTAGAATCTACAGGTGAAGAGCACCTGTAGATGGGGATAGCTACTCTATATATACACAAATGAATGGCCTAGCCGCAAATGGCTAGGCAAAAAGAAGTCATATTTATTCCTCCAATGATCTTACTTTACCGATAACCATTGATACCTAGTACTTGTCCGGATCTGATCCTCAGGTCACCTAAATCGCATACTAATCTCGAGTAATCGTATCATGTGTGGACATGGTTAATGTACCTGAGGTTTCTTATATAATAAAGGTGGGAGGAAAGCAGGGATTTCCGTCACAAGTAGGTTAATCTCTCTTCTAAGTTCTACGGAAGTGCGAAGCTCTCTTACAGAGAGCTTCTCAATCTAGTCCTAATAGGACTAGTGCCCTGTGCACGTGCTACGCAGGAACCATTCACTTTAACAAATAATAATATTATTTTTTATTTTATTTTATTTTATTTTATTTTATTTATTCTCAAGAATTTTTTTCATAATTCTTTAATTCAATTTTAAAATAATTTATAAAAACTAAAAAAAACTACTCAAGAAACCCTACCCACTATAATATAAAAAATTAAATTAAATGAAAATTAAATTAAAGAATATTATTATTAAAAAAAATACTTCAAAAAACTTAATTTTCGAAACTTTAGATTATCCTCTCCCCTTTCCCTCTTTCCTTCCTTTCTTCCTTCATTCCCCAGTAAACAGTTAACAGTACCAGCCTGTCTGTCTACCTCTCTGTCTTTCTTTAATTCCTCCCGGTATGTATTTATTAATTAATTAATTATTTCCTATCTCTCCATCTCTCCATCCATTCATTCCCAATTACCCCCTCCCTCTTAATTATTCTCAAAGTATTTTTTTCTCTCTTCTTCTTTGTATACCCTATACCCTGTGCCTTGTGCCTTTCTTGCATCTTATCCCAGTACCCATTCCGAAATCCGATTTTGTAAACCCGTACGTAAGTAACGTATGATTGATTGATTGAAAATTGAATGATTAAATCCTCCCTTTCTGTATCTTGACTTTTCATCTTTTGTGTTTTGGTGTTTTGACGTGTTTTGGTGTGATGTTTTGGTCCTGTGCTCCATTTGCTTGCATATATCGCAATCAAATCATCGATATTAAGTCCCGCGCCCATTCATCCTCATTCCTATCGAAGTATTGAAAATCACCCCTTCCCTACATGTAACCATGTAACTTAATTCTCACCATCACCATTACCCAAATCCACGCCCGAATCCCTCCTCGCACACCTCTCCATCTCCTCTCTTTCCCTCTCCCTCTCCCTCTCCCCCTCAACAACCTCATCACACCACCCCAAAGCCACACCCCCCCACCTCTCCACCCCCTTATACCTGCTCATCTCCCCCTCCCACCCCCTAACCTGTTTCGCCAGGGATTCCGCCTCCTTAACCCCCAACTCCATCAATCCTTCCATATAAGTCCTCACAGTAAACAAAACCGCTCCTGATTTCGGCAGGCGCGTAAATGTCTGTCGTTCGCGTCTTACGTAGATATCTGATGCGGTGAGGGGATGCGTAGGGGAACGAGGTGGTTCAGGTGTGTCTTGGAAGAGAATGGGTGTGGTTTGGATGAAGAGGTTTGAGCGTTCCATGCAGGTGCGTGGTGTGAGGTGGGTGAAGTATCTAGGATTTTGTTAATTAGGGGTTATTTTTTTTTGTGGATAGGATGGAATGGAAGTTGTGTTTTATTTTGGTTAAGGTATTAAGATGTTTTTCAAAGATGTATTAAAACAGATACATACCGGTTAACACTCTTTCCTAATTTTTCTTTCCAACCCGGAACAGGTGCGTGTAGAACAGCCATACTACTCCCAATCCTCTCTTGTAATTTCCAACCTGCGGGGAAAAGAGTAGCAGAAGCCATTAATTTCCATTCCGCATCTTCACCTTCCTCAGGATCCTGAAGAAGAATATTAAAATCTTCCATACAAAGTCTCGCAGCCGTTTCAAGGGGATTAGAACACGAAGAACCAATAATATGTTCTTCCCCTGTTAATTTATTTAGGATTTTCTCAGAAGAAACAAGCTCGAAATAATCCGGATACCTCTCTAGTAAAAACTCAACCGTCATATCTAATACCTCATACGTAGCCGAAACAGCCGGTTTCAATACCTGCAACACACACGGACCATGGGTTTCTAATAATGATGCACGAAGCGTGTGTTCGGATTGGTAGAAGGAATCAATGGTTAACCAGTTGGATTGGTCGAGTCGTTTGAGACCCATGGATGTTGGGTGTGGAGAGCTGGGTTTGAGAGGTGGGAGGATGTAAGGTGGTTTTTGGGGGGCGGGTTCGGGTTTGCTTTGTTTTTGGGGAGTGCTGGGTGTGGATGTGGATGTGGATGGGTTGGTTTTTGAGTTTGGTGATGGTGTTGCTGATGAGGTGGGTGAGGTGCATGATAGGAGACGGGAGATGTTGGGGAGAGGGTTGTGGAGAAATTTTGTTGTGTTGGTTGCTGAACGTGATGTTGAGGATGTTTTTTGATGGTTTGGAGATTGAACTCGATGGGTGTGAGTCTTTCGTCGAGAACTGAGGATATATAACATGCAAGCCGTAGCAAGCACAATGATAGATTCCACGAGCAACATATTGCTTTCGCTGTATATGTTTATGTTTCGTGACGACGAGGATAAAGATTTGAACTGCCAGTATACAGTAGGAAGAGTTGAAGGTAAAGTTGAAGTTGAAGTTGAGGATAAAGTTAAAGTTGAAGGCGAAGATGATGAAGATGAATTTGAAGACAGAGATAGTAAACCCTCCAAACCCATTGGAAACGACATATTTATATCTTCTATCACCACATAAGGCTCCTTCGCATCCCCCACAAAAGTAGATGCAGAAATTCGCAAAGAAGATCCAGACCGATTCATCTGATTCCGAACAGGCATTCCCGATAACCCATGTACGAGTGGCGTCTGCACCATTCTATCTTGCATAGCTACCCGGAGAAATTTCTTGGATAGTCTTTGACAAGGAGTGTTCCCGATTCCGAGCCGTTGCATATGTACCTAGTAGGTATGCTGTGGTCGGCACTTGAAAAAGGAAGTTTTGCTTTTGCGGGAAAGGTGAGTGAGGTAAGGGAGAAGAATGTAAATGTAGCAGGGAAGGAAGCGAGCAAGCAAGCAAGCAGGAATATCTCAAAAAAGTAGGACTAGTAAATGAATTATGTGAATAATATATAAAAATTCTTCCTTGTTACTTAATGAAAGAATTACCAGTTGATGTATGGTATATGTATATGTTTGAATATGTGGGCGAGAGAATTGGAAGACGAGTTATAAATAATATTGAGAGAAAAGATGCCGTGTAGAGATATGTATGGATCGGTGTAACTTCAGGCTGCAAAATCCTGCAATGAAAGTAGGACGACAGGAATATTCGAGAATGAAAAAGATAGGGTAGATGATAATAGATAAGAAGTGCTAGAAATAAGTCCCAGCTAAACGGGTTGGGAAGGAGGGTCTTTCTTCAATCTCATACACATACACATACACATACATATACATATACATATACATACATACACATATTCCCCAATCCCGTCATATCACACTATCATTATGGAGAAGAGAAGTTAGATTGTTCGATTTTACCTGAGCTTAGACTCAGCCTTGATTTTGTCCACCTATATTTCTTGGATCTGGAATGGAATAAGAAGCTACAACCTAGCAGTATGGCTGTGATTAAATTACCCCATTGCCCCTCGATAGATCATTCAGATGGTCCACTCGGTCCGCAGTTTCTTGTGTGTAGTGTATGTAGTGTATGTATGTGTTAGAATTACCTTGACAATTTACGAGAAATGAACATGGGGGCGGGGAGTTATCAAAAACGGAAATCCCTTGAGTGAAGAGTCTGGAATGATGCCAAAAAAAAAAGCAAAAATAAGGAAAAAAACAAAATAATCATTTTGATACCAATACGATCTAAATATCTAGATCTAACTATCCACAGACAAGTATGTTCCTTGCCACCAAATTGTGAGGGTTCGGTTTAAGGATCCCATGCATCACGCGTATGTACAAAGTATGTAGCGTTGCGTAGATTAGGGAAAAAAGGTAATCCGGAAAGGAATTCCTGGGCCGGAATAGACAATAGACCAGCAGACAATAGATGGCAAGATCTATCGAATTTCGGAAGAAGGGGGGAGGGAAGAGGGAACAAAAAAAAAAGTTGGCTAAGTGCAACCGGTGGCTCGTATGATAAATAGAAAAACATAAACACAAAGACGAGGTCCCAACATCCAGTCATGAAGTTTATCTGGGTTCACGGTGATCATCCATACAAGCCGGTAAGGTGGGCTCGATGCTTTGGGATGCTCGGGAGATGTAGCTTCGGCATTCCGATTGGATCATTAGTCAGGATCCATCCATCGTAGGTTCTCACAATATATGGGGAATGATGAGGTGGGTTATTTTTAAATATTTCAATTTTGGATATCCTTTTCTTAGCCCTGGCACCGTGGATATAGACTTTTGTAAAATTATCATCTTGGATACCAAATCAAATCGAGGCGTCCGTGTTGCGGATGGTGTATGTGAGCTATCGAATAGGATTCACGATGAAGGAAGTCAAGCATCACAACAGCAAAAAGGCGTAGGATTCCTGTGAGTATCCCGTTCATATTTCGTACAGAAAGTAAGGTACGTGATTGATATTCATGGAGATGCACACTCTGATTGGTCAAATAAAATCGGAAATCGGGGGATCTGTGTAAAATCTTTTTGGATGTTGGGAAACGGGAATCGACAGGGATTTATTTTTTAATGTTGACCGCGAAGGCCGCGGGGGAATAATTTATCCCAAAGTCAATTCATCTGTGAGTGTTTTGATTGGTTGAATATTTAATGTTGAATGTTGAAATGTTGAAATGTTGAATGATGACGGATTAGTAAAGACTAAGTAAGTAATAATTAATTAGATGTGTCATTAGAAGTTGGAATAGAAGTTTTGTTCATTTGTCATGGATTCATTGATGGTAATAAGATCTTAGATCTTACCTATTCAATACAATATTCATGATGTGATGGATTGATTATACGAAAGAAGCTCTGATCCTAAATAGGTAGGTACTTCATTTCATGTCCAAGAGGTGATGTAACGAGTACCTCCGATATGATATAGACTGAAGAATACGACTTCTCATTTGCTTGTAACAAAGTCCTGATATAGACATTAAGAGTCTAGAGGCAGGTAGATCATGTACCCTACGTACACCTCATACGTTTGCATCAATCTTCAAGGTTACCTATCTATCTATCTATCTACTATCTATCAATCAATCAATCGATATACATATGCCAATCCTCAGTGAATCGAGTAAAGAAGTCCCAAATAAGCTCAACCATGTCTGCCTCAACCACAACGTCTATGCAGTGTAACCAAAATAAAGTATGTGTAACCATCAAACAAAACCGTTTTGCAGAGCCCTTTCCGCCTTACTTGCCTTGTTTGCCATCCACACCATCACTCCATCACTCCATCGATATCATCTGGTATCACATCATAACCGTGGCAAAAAAAATCCCCTACAGACATACAAAATATACAGAGAACAACTCGTACAACCACATCAGCAAAAATCTCAAACAATATTTTCCACGCGGCACCAGCGGTCCATGCTGAAACATTGCAATAAAACTGCGGCTGAAAATCAAGAACCTCTCCCTTCACCAAAATGCCAACATCAGCATCAACATCTAAATCCAATCCGCATTTCGAAATAAAAAATTCTCGAGAAATTTCAATTTTTCCTCAAACTCCCCAACGGATATCGCGCCTTGCTATTCCAATTCCAATTTCAACTCTAATACCAATTTCATACTCATCTTGGAAATCGCGCAGCGCGGATATGCGTAAAGGGCACTTAATCCAAAAATTAAGCCCAAGAAAACCAATAGCACAGCAAAGAATAAGGCGAAGCCAATGGACATTTATTGGCAATTTTTCAGGAACGTCACCCACAGCGCATCCATCCATCTCCAGACATTCAGGGTTCCACTTTCTAGTAGGTATGTAGGTATCTATTTATCTATCTATTATCTACTCTGTACGGAGGAAGGTTCCACCGCGCAAGGTAAGGGGAAGAAGGTTACCTTACCGACGCACGCTGTAAGAATAGACCCTTTTTCTTTTGTATTGTATGTACTATGTACGGAGTACGGATCAAGGTCTTAATATAATTCACGGTAAATTGATCCGGACCCAGGAAATCGTTTCCCTTTGGCTTGTTAAGGTTTGTGGGGGTGGTGGGTTTCCGCTTTTGCTTTTGCTTTATTGAGGGTTTTGCGTATTGGTGTTTAATATCTACTTTACTTTATTCCGCTATTAATTACTTCGTTCCGCTGTGTGTGTACTTGTTGTGAAGTACCTGTTTACCTGTATTTACATACTGTATACTGTATTATATGATTTACATATTCCATATCTACATATATATCTGTAACAAACGCAGGGGAGTATATAAATCAGCAAACAACAAACAAACAAATACAAGTAATCCACCCACCAAACAAAACACCCCTCTTTCCCCCTCCCAAAAAAACCAAGCAAACCTCGAAGAAAAGCACGAACCCAAAAACAGCAGGAAGCAAGGCAAAGCAAAGCAAAGCAAAGCAAAGCAAAGCAAGACAAGACAAGGCAAGTCCTTTCGGCAAGAAAGAAAGCCGCATGGACCATCGATGCATGATGCGGATTATGCAAGAAATGCAGGTAGCAGAAGTAAGAGGGCGTATGCATAAAAGCACGCTAGCTAGCTCGCCCGCAAGCAAGCAAGCCTTACAGGCATGCGAATGCGGGTGGATCCTCTTGATTCGATAGTTGCGCCGCGTCTTGCATGTGTTCTAGATGCTCCGTGTTGTCTGTGTATGCTATGTATGTGGCTTTTTCTTACGGGAGACGTTTTTCATGGGAAGGTGGGGGTTGGTTTACTAGGTAGGTCTTTTGGTTTGGATTCTAGATTTTTTTTTGGTGCTGGTGGGATGTGATGGATGGGCGGGAGGGGCAAATGAAATGAAATGAAATGGGCGTGCTTGGGAACGAGCGCTTGTTACGGTTGGTGATGCTGTGCTGTGTACATGGTTTTGTTTATTCCCGACTTGTGTGTTTTGGAAGTGGGAATTCGTGTTTGTAACTAACTGCTGGTATATGCGTTTCTGGATACGCTACTTGTCTATACAGTACTTGAAGTTTTGAATCAGAGATTCGTGTTTGTAACAGCTGGTGTTCGTTTGACATACCCATTACAAGTAGTTGCATATGTCTTCCAACGGTCATGTCGGTACTGGTTCGTTGTACTCATCTGGCGAATTCATATGAACCTATCATATATACGGAACTGCAGTTACAACAGATATTGTTTACAATTTACAGTCTGTCGACATATCTACCAATGAAAAGTCCTCAAAAGATCCCGAATCTAGCCACGAGGACTACCGCGAATTATACACCGATGTAGAGTAACCTATAACCACGTCTGGAAAAATCCCGACAAGCCAACCTCTCATTGCACAAACAAAATGTTCCGGAAAAAGCATGACCTACGTGGATGCCGTCGGAGCCACATCTCCTATTTGTGCTGTGGGCTTGTGTTGTACTTGTTCTTTAAAGAGTAATAATGGAGCTATCTTGTTTCGAAGTGAGGTTTGGAGCCACCATGGCCATGCGCGGATGGTACTCAGGATATTCATTTGGTTGGGTAGAACAATATGACCACTACTTCCTGATAACACTTGGTTGACGATAGCAGAAGTGACGGTTTCAGGTTCGAGGATTGATTCCTGAAAGGTGGGCTGGGCGATTAGATCTGCGATTAACGGGGTACGGACCCAGGATGGATTGACCACGCTGTTTCTTTTGTGAGTGCGGAATACTAGTGACAAGGTCCCTGGGAATGAATGTGCTGACTTACGTGGTTTTGATGTTTGGTGCGTTGTATCGATATTTTAATTCGGATGCGAGTCCTTCGTGGAAGGCGAGAGCACTGGCTTTCGCACACGCATAATCTACATTGGCTGCGTGAACCACATAACTTGCCATACTGGCGAGCGTTACCACATGACCGTGATTCTTCTTGATCATGGCCGGAAGGAATTCTCTCGCCATCAGGAAATGGGATATCGTGTTGACATCGAATGTTCTTCGAATTTGTTCTTCGGTGGCTTCTAAGATAGGTTGGAGATATCCAAGTCCAGCATTATTGATAATTACGGTAGGATCTCCTTGATCCTTTCGAATTTCTGAAGCTGCGGAGGCTATTTGTGATGATGATGTTATATCAACTTGGTAGTAAAATATATTTGATGCTTTAAGACTATCAGCCATCATCACCACATAATCTCGGAGAGAGAAGACTTACGAAATGGAGTCTTTGGAGGGTTCAAATCCATCACCACCACTTTAACTCCTTGAGATGAGAAATCTCTTGCCACTAATTCCCCCATTCCACTCGAACCACCCGTGATCAATACCAGCTCCTGACTCTTGATAAATTTCGCATTGCCCTTCCAATTATTCAATACCAGCTGAGATAACTTGTTATTGAGACGTTTTAAAATACCAAATACGAATAAAATCTTCAACGTTCGAACAGCAGCCGGAGAAGTAATATGTGGTTGAATATTGGTCGGGAGTATACCTCGTAGTTTGTGCGGGTAGTACAAGAGTGCCACCAGGAGCGCACCGGTGACCTTGGGATCAAAAGGAGCGGCGAGAATTGTCGACATCTTGGTGTTTGCTGTGATTTTCAATAGATTCTATAGTTTCTAGTTGATGAAGGAGCAGGGCAGATGAATCGATAGTCATAAGGGATCAAATTCTCTATATACAAAATACAAAATATAAATATCAATTACTGCACTCGGGTATACATACACATATTCTCCTATATGAAGTCAGGGAGTTCAGGCCCAAGCTTGATGATTTCAAGATACTCGAGTAATGAACGTGTGGAGCTGCCGAGGTCAAAATGAGAGGGTATAGGATGGGAAAACAGGGGTGATGGGAAGGTGGAGAATACACGTGAAATTACAATAGATATATATACTTTGTACGGAGTGTTTACATTCTTGTTGCACGTACGTATCTGCGGTAGAATAGATGTCCGGGTTAGGTTTGCAGTGATACAGGAGAGTATTCTCCATGTCACATCTTTAAGGTTGTAGACATCAATTTGTCTGACCATACTGGAAAATGAGGTTGTGTAGGTATGATAAGATGAAAGACCGAGCAAATAAGTCCCGTGCGTCAATGCCGAATCCTTATGTAAGCTTAATAGTTAGTATTTTCATCTCCAGCTACCCCGCCCATCACGAGGGACAACCCCGCCTTAGACTACCCGTTGATACCCTGATCTTGACCACATCACTTTATCTTCCAAAAGAACAATTATTAAATTTTGAGTGCAAGTTGTGTATCAAAATTCTAATCATCGTTTCATAGTTCATTTTTCACCTAACAAAATAAACATCCAACTTGAGTCATGATGAGTTCGACTAAACTTCCCTTCGATGTAAGATCTGATCCTACGATTTCAAACCACTACGAAAATACCCCTGATTCAACTCGAAACGCTAATCTACCCGCATTTAGCTTAAAAACACGTCCCTCTTCCACGATAAATCATACGTCAACGGAGAATGGATCGAAGCTAAATCCGGCAAACGTTTCGACATCAGAGGTACTTACTCCCACATCAACCAACATCTCATCCTCAAACCACAACAAATCCTAACAACCCACCAGATCCCGGAACCGGTCAAGTATGGGCCACAGCACCCGATAACGATGCATCGGATGTAGATGGCGCCGTGCAAGCGGCCCACACGGCTTTTCAATCTTTCAAGAAAGTGAATCCGAGAACGAGGGCCCAGTGGCTTTTGAAATGGGATTCTTTGATTAGGGAGAATAAGGAGGATTTGGCTAAGATTGTTACTTATGAGACTGGAAAACCTACCGCTGAGAGTTTGGGTGAGATAGATTATGCCTTGGGCTTTACGTGGTGGTTTGCTGGGGAGGCGGAGAGGGTTACGGGGTCGATTCAGGTATGTTTGTCTTTTACATGTGTCTGTTGTTCTTTCGCTGTATATCATATCACATGCTTTCACGAAGTTTTCTATATGTATATCACATCACATGTTTTCACGAAGTTTTCTATATCCTCGCCATCATTCCCGTGTTTGCAAATGCTGATGTACCTCGTGATTAGACACCCTCAGTATCAGGTAGGAGAGTATTCACCGTCAAGCAACCAGTTGGTGTGGCTGCTGCATTAGTACCATGGAATTTCCCCATTGCGTAAGTAACCTCAATCTCTCCGATTCTCTAGCTAACATTCATTAGAATGATTCTGCGAAAGGCTGGAGCTGCCCTTGCAGCCGGTTGCTCCATGGTAGTGAAACCATCGCCAGAAACACCTCTATCCGTGCTATCTTTAGCTATGCTTGCTGAGCAAGCAGGGTTCCCAAAAGGTGTATTTAGTGTTTTAACTACAAGTTTGGATAATACCCCTCCGTTGAGTGAGGCATTGTGTCGTCATCCGTTGGTTAAAAAAGTTACCTTTACTGGTTCGGTGAGATGATACGTCCTATTGATGAGTGTACCCTGGATACTAATAATTTTTAGACAAGAGTTGGTAAACTTGTGGCAAAACTGTGTTCTGATGGACTGAAGAAAGTTACCTTGGAACTTGGTGGCAACTGTCCTTTTATAGTATTTGATGATGCGGATCTAAATCAAGCTGCTGATGGTATGTTGAATATTTTTCTCTTTAACATACTTATTTATGATATCCCCTTCCACCTGGATGCTTGTAAATCCTAGTTCTTTATTTCTCATTAAAAATTTGTTTGACCGCCAGCAAAATGCTAACACAAATAGCACTCATGGGTCTTAAATGGCGTCACGCCGGTCAAGCTTGCATAACCGCCAATCGTGTATATGTACAATCCGGTATCTACGATGCCTTCGCCACACTCATCAAAGAAAAGACGTCCAAACTCAAGGTCGGCCACGGTGCCAAAGAAGGAACTACACTCGGACCCCTTACCACTTCTCGAGGTGTCGATAAAGTCACAGATCAAGTCGAAGATGCCAAGAAACATGGTGGGCAAGTGGTACTCGGAGGTGCAAAAGTCAAAGATACCACGGGGTATTTTTTTGAACCGACGATTATTTTGGGCGCGAAGAAGGAAATGTTAATTACGGAGGAGGAAACCTTTGGGCCGGTGTTGGCGTTGTATTCTTTTGAGACGGAAGAAGAAGCGGTTGAGGCGGCGAATAATACTAGTGTAGGTTTTGCATTTGTTCCCTATGAGACGTATTATATGAAATGTACTAACACAAATATAATAGATGGGTCTAGCATCCTATTTCTTCACCAAGAACATCGATCGTACTTGGCGACTTTTAGAAAATCTAGAAGCGGGTATGATTGGTATGAATACTGGTACGTAACTTTACCTTCTTTTTTCATTCATTCATTCTATCATGTAAAAGTCTATATATTAATACCAAAACCCCCCATCATAGGTAGTTCATCCGCAGCTGAATCACCATTCGGCGGAATCAAAGAATCAGGCTATGGAAAGGAATCCGGAAAAGATGTTGCGATTAATGAGTATCTTATTACAAAAACGGGAACGATGACGATTGATGGTCTTTATTAGATATAGTGAGCTCTTCAATTAAAGTTACTATATCTTATTAATTAATTCGTTTAGCTTTTTGTGCTGGGGGATAGAGGGAACGAGTGATGGGATGTGATGTGATGTGATATGAAGGTGTATGTATGTATACAGGATGATTTATAAGTGATGATTTATTTAATTATTTATTTTTAATGTTTTTTGATTTTTTGTGTTTTCATTGAGATAAGATTAAGATTTATATATAATTTTGAAAAAATAAGAAGTTGTGACCAAAAGGGTGTTTATAGACCAGCAATTGTATTTAACTTAGAATCTACAGGTGAAGAGCACCTGTAGATGGGGATAGCTACTCTATATATACACAAATGAATAGCCTAGCCGCAATGGCTAGGCAAAAAGAAGTCATATTTATTCCTCCAATGATCTTACTTTACCGATAACCATTGATACCTAGTACTTGTCCGGATCTGATCCTCAGGTCACCTAAATCGTATACTAATCTCGAGTAATCGTATCATGTGTGGACATGGTTAATGTACCTGAGGTTTCTTATATAATAAGGGTGGGAGGAAAGCAGGGATTTCCGTCACAGAAGTATTAAAATCTTTAATCATTCTTTTAATAAATTGAATAAATCAATTTATTTCAAAAAGAAATTTTTAGAAATATTTTAATATATAATTTAAAACTCAAAAAAGATTTATAATTTATTTTTTAATTTAATAATTTTTATTGAAAAGATTATTTATATATTTTATTGTTTTTAATTTGTAATCTTAGAATATAGATTTTTTATAAGTTATGAAAAATCTAAAATTTCAATTTTAAATATATTAATTAACAAAAGTTATAAAAATCTGAAATTTTAGATTTTATTAGATTACATTAATTTATTATAAAATTATTAATTAATTAATTAATAATATAATGAAATTGATAGTTTTTGATATAAAAAAATGATCGAGATTAAAGATTACTAAAAAAATAATATATTGTTAAAGTGAATGGTTCCTGCGTAGCACGTGCACAGGGCACTAGTCCTGTTAGGACTAGATTGAGAAGCTTTCTTACAGAGAGCTTCTGTTACGTGACGGTTGTTATCCCACTAGTGGCTCACGTGCACTAGCCCTGTATATAAAGACCTTCTTACTTAGAATCTTCTTAGTTCTTTATTTTTAGATTCTAAGTGATTGAATTGACTCCGTTTACGACTTTTCCGTCACAGCTTCGCACTTCCGTAGAACTTAGAAGAGAGATTAACCTACTAGACCAATATTACCTCAGTTCTGCCCTATCAGCTTCCCACTATTCCCTGTGTGAGGTCATTCCTTTTAACATATATCATATTTAATTTGTTTTGGATTTAGATTTGATATTAAAAAGTGTTATTTTTATTTTTAATTTTTTTTTATTTATTGAGTTAGGATTTGTTTTTATATATTGTTATAAGAATATGATATATGAATTAGATATAAAAGTTGAATAAATATAAGATTATTGATGATGAGAAGAGAGAATAGATATTTATAATTTAATTTCTAGTATAGAAAGTAATAGTATTATCGAGATAGGATTGCTGGTTTAAGATGATGATTATGAATTCTAGAGTCAAGAATCATGGTTATCTACCTAGTTATTTGTATAGATTTATATTCTTGGGTAGTATTTATTTTATTGATGTTTTGGGGATTTTAATATACTATCTATAAACTTATAAAGATATAATTTGAAGGATAAAAATATAGATATATAGATATGCGACTTTTTGTTTTGAGACTTTAAATATAGAGATAGGAAAGATTGAGGGGTCTAAGATTAACGTCTTAATTAATTCAAATATACTACTAGGTACTTTTATAAAATGGCTCCATTTTTAGATTTGGGGTAATCTGTGGAAGATAAGAATGATGTATGTATAATTTCTGGGATGAGCCCTGTAACCAATGAATATAGATGTGCAACAGAAGACTTCCGGAGTATGTGAGTGGATGTATTTGTTAGGTGCCGGATCATATACTATTTGTAACTAGAGAAACTAAAAATCACTCTATATTAGTTCCTTCTAGACTCGGAAGTTGAAGATCTTTTTTTTTTTGAAAGGCCGGTACTTTGGCACTATTGAGTATTGAGTACTGAGTAGTGAAGCTTATATCATTGGTCACCATATATATAGATGTAGAAATAATTTATATAATCTTTCTTCTTTATATCAAGTATTTAACAAAAGGATTCTAGCTGTAGATTATGTGAAGAGAATTAATTTATTATTATCGTATTAGTGATACTATATATATATCTCTATTAGAATCAAAATCAAATCACCATCTTACACCCTAACTATAAATCTAGGATTATAACAACTTGGTCGCTGAGAAAATCCAGATTAGGTTTGCGCCAAGACTTATAGTCTTACCTTTGAGTAGTGCTTTACTTTACTCGTACGCTTGCTGTGATAGTTAAGGTCCGTGACACGGATTGTAGATATGCAAAAGTAGTATTTTGAAGTGGTTGAGTGGAGAACTTTTGGAGTGAGTGGGTAAGTCCTGTTCTAGCTTCTGTGGATTAGAATGATGATATTAGGTAAGTTTTTTATATTTTGAGGTTTATGATTTAGCCTTCAACGATACGGTTTGTGAAATAATTGCACAGTAATGGTTGGTATTTGTGATAAGCTGAAATTGTAGTAAGGTCCTTGTTTGAGAGAATTTTGAAGATGGGAATAGTCTGCTATTCAGGGCTTGGATGTGAGTTGATAGCTAAAAAAAAAAGCTTTTTTCTCGGGGAAGGGGGGTTTTCGTTTTTTGCATATTTCCCTATCCTTATGTGATCAAGCATGTAGTCAGTTAGTTGAATGTGGATTGTAGTAATAGGATACTAACGGCCGCAACAATTGCCACAAAACGATGAGAACGTGATATATTATAATGAGCTTAGTTTTGCAATGTCGACGAGTGGACGTGTAGATAACTTTTCTACGGGCTTTGAATAGACTGCGCATAAAGAATTCGCAACTTGCGGATATCTATGGATAATTCGCTTTGCGGATTACCCATTAGAATTATAACCCACCATATATAGATTACCTATTCTAATTTTAAATACTCTATAAATCATTTATTCGGATTTTCTATTAACCCACCCCACAAACGAAGCATCTATAGATTATCCATCAGAGAGATAATCCACTCTGCGGAGCCCCATTGCGCAGCTTAGCTCTGAATGAACAATACTGAGATATAAATCACAACTACTGGGGCTAAAATAGTTTCTTCATTCTATACTTTCATCCGGGAAACATAAACTTTACAAAAACTCCGAATGATACCGACACTGGAAGACTTGCAAGAATAAATTTTGTGACATTGAAATTGAGATTCGCAACGTGACCAGAATGATCTCGAGCTGAGGGCGCTTACTTGGGAGATTTTTCAGGAAGCAGGTCGAGCCCAAAGCAGTTACCAATCAACGAAGCTAAGATTAAAAACGACATATTACTCTTTTTAATTTAGCTTCACAGTGAAAGTATTATGAAGTGGGTATCCTAATACTTGTCGGGACGAGGTCTGAGCATGGATTTGTAGATATGCAACATAATTTTACGGCTTCTGAGTAATAGGGTAAAGGAACGAATAGTTTTGAGATACTAATGATAACTCTGGGAACAAAGGAGGCGTTCTTATTCTAAATTTCCTATTGGGGATGCATAGGCTTCAAAGTAGTCGATGAGGTTCTAAGACTTGCAAGGATGGGTCTTAAAATGGCGAGGTGCAGATGTGCAACATTATCAATATAAATTTGAGTCGAACATGTCTGAGTCGAGTAATTCAGGAACGTGTCATGACTTTTAACATGCCAAGTCTAGTTATTGGAGTGAAAGAAAATGGCGCGATGCGCTTTCCTGTTTGATATCGATGTATACATATCGCAAAGTAGCTACTTCCATGCTAACCAGGATGTAACCCATGCATTGAGTTGATAGATATGCAATAAAACAATGTGACGGACTTCAAACGGAGGATTCTTAAGCTCGTACATAAGATCTTACACGAATAACATTGTCGCTTATCTGAAATTAGTGTTGGGGGTAGGAAACCATGGCAAACTAAAAGGTCGTCAGTATTTATACTAATTTTAAATCTCTAGCTACCGACTAGGGAAATGGAGAGTGGTATGGCCTGTATTAAAAGAAATCTAAAACCACAGTAGTAATAAGAATTTCCTCTGAAGGGATTTCAAGCTCTGTAAGTACCGAAGTATAAATGCCGAAGCGGCTCCGCTCTAACCACACGTCAAAAATCACAGTATACTACTCACATATTTCCCTCTCATATGATAATTATGACGTACACCATTGAATCATAACCGCCAATACTCAACCTCAATATAATGCAAAGCCTCTGAGTGGAAATATCTGAAATCTATTTACGTGATCATATTTGGCCTCAATCGTAAGTATCGGAGGTAAACCGATGCTTTTATTCTAGACTTTAAATCTATATGATATACTGATCAAGCAATTGCTTAAGATACAAAGTTACCAGGATGAATCCTGTATATAAAAGAAGTAGATATGCAACAAATAGAGAATTACTTGTTTCTGAAGCTCTGAATGGAAGATCGACACGGTGATTAAAGTAGGCAGGCATTAGCACAGGCAGGAGATAATAAACCTAAACATGCACTTTGTCAGGATGAGCTTTGTAATATCCTGTCATAGACGTGCAACATAATTCGATGTATTTTTGGCACGTCTTTTGGTTGGATAGAACACCTTTGGAAAGTGTTCAAATGGTTAACTAAAGCGAGCTAAAGAGGCTAAAAGAATGAAGTTATTAATATAAACTCTCCACAGATCGACAAAAATAAATTTCTCAAGCGCCGAAACCAGGAAAATTTCCCAGCTCTAGGCTTCAGTTTGGAATTGTAGACCGCGGAGTACTAATTCTTTCGTTCATCTATTCTGCATACGAATATCTATAAGATGTATAAGTGCAGAATCTTTACTTTACTTGGAGGGTTCGGTGCTATATGTGAAAATAATAAGATATGTTATCTCTTATCACAGGCCAAGTAAGAAAAAGGAAGGAGCACCGCTGAACTAGCAAAAGCGAAGCTATTCCCAAACCGTCCCTAAGCCTATAAAATTCTGCAAAGCCTTGAAACTCATCCAGCCCCGATTTTTAAAGCTAGCTGCCTCCAATCCGTATAACCACCAGCCTCAAACCATACAAACTCAATGTATTCTAGTCTCACCAGGCCTTCGATTCGTCGGAAAAACCATCGACCTCCTCGGGAACCAGTGTATTATTATAGCCTCACCAGGCCTGAACGTGCCTTAATCAAGGACTTAAAGCTACGAAACGTACCGGAGCGAATCATACGGCCACAGAATCGAAGTTGAGCGCCCTGTAGGGACGGCAGACCTGAGAAAGGGAGTGTCGAATTGTAAGAGTGAGTTGTGATACTGGCAGGCCTAATATGAGTAGTGTAACGTGAAATATTCGAATGTCTTGAAACCAGGAAACCCCCCCCCCCCCCCCCCCCCCGCAACCCACCCGCCCAAAAAAATCTAATCCATGCGTAGATCACCATAAAGGTGTTATTATTGTAGGTGTGAAGAGGTTTATTTTATTATTGGTGCTGCGATTCCTGATTATATAGAACCGCTCATCGTACTTGCCGTATTAGGCCTAACACCGCACTGAACATTCCATCTGGACTTGTCATCAACTATGGAAGGAGTAGTAGTATATCACTCATACACTTGTTGGGATACAGCCTGTAAATTGAATGTTTAGATATGCAACGTAAACATTCTAAGAGCGTTGAGTGGAAGGTACTGGTCATAGATGCTAGAGCTAAGTGAATATTCTGGTCTAAGAGAATCTTCGAGATTCGTGAACTTCATGATAGTAGAGCAAAGAGTACTACTTTGAGACTTGTAAGGATGAGGCCTGAAATTTAGAGCTGTCATATTTGCAACATTGATTTTTCGAGGCCGTTGAGTGATGGGTGATTCCCGACTAGTGATAATAACTGGAGCTAGAAGAAATGTTTCTTGGTTCAAAGTTCAAACTAACCGCCGGACTTCGAAATAGTGAGATAAAGAGAGCTATTTATAAACTTTCCAGGTTAAGGGCTACAATTTAGTACAGTGAGATGTGCAACATTACCCTTGAAGAATTCTCAGTGGTAGAGGAAATTGAGATTATTCCACACTAGGGAAGCGAACAAAGAACGGCTTCAGGCTAGATTTTTCCCGAGTCATAATTAACTGGGGAGTATACTATTCACTCGAACATGGACGCACATGTCAGGATGAACCCAGAAGAATGAATCTCTAGATATGCAACGAAACTCCTTCAGAGACTTTAAGTGAATGACGATGAGAATAGTTGTTTAGAGATTCGTTAGTTTACGGAAGATCGGGTAACGGATGTAGAGAGATTCAATGGAAGGGAGATTATACATCTGTTATGGTCTGTTGTATAAGCAATCTGAAATAAATTGGTATTGATGGAATTTGTCTCTTTCAAAGTTTTGTGTTATGTATAGAAGACAATTTAAAACCGCAAACCAAACAGCCGGCACTAAAGAACTCTACTCCAACAAAAAGAATGACTTATTCATGGGATACTTATCAGCATTTCTAGATTCCAAAAAGCCACACGCTTGTCAGGATGAGCCTTGCAATAAGGCTTTACAGACGTGCAACATATTTATACATTTCGCTTTGAATGGGTCTGGGTGAAAGATGGTAAGATAAAGGACGCTATTTGTGGTTTCTGGAGCTAGGAAAATCGTTTGTTCTTCTAGTCATTATTTCAGGAATATTGATAGCATTTGTAAGGATCACACCTGTAAATTGAATCTCTAGATGTGCAACATGACCTTTCTGAAGATTTTAGGGCCAGACTGGGAAAGTGGTTTAGTTAGTACTTATTAGTACAGAGCGCTGATAAATTTACGCTTGACAAGTATTGGTGATATTGAACAAGGGACCGTGATGTAATCCGATTTTGGCTTGCGGGAGGGATTTCTCTGGGTTCCCAAAGCCGGATTGAATGGCATGGTAAACTTCATGTGGATTAACGAGGCTAGAAGTCCTTCATTTTCGAATTTACCCTTAAATTCGTATTCTTGATAGATGATAGCATGGGGGGAACATGGATTTCCCAAACAATCCAGCCCTGATTTTTTTAAGCGCAATTAAAAGCGACATGCTAAATTTTGTGAAAGGATTTTATTAAAAAAACTATCATTGATTATTTATAATACTCGACTAACCAGTCAATGAAATTAAAAACAAAGGATAAAGTCCGTTTTGGGTATGAATAACCAAATCTCAAGTCGAATTCTTTGAACGTTGTAGAAAGACATATGGGTCTTTGACAATTGGCACTAGTCAGTTGATTCATATATAAGCATTATCGAACTTTTATTCTTGATGATAGTCATCAACTTCACCAGATAAAACCAGAAGAACAACGTAGTCCACCATTATTTCTCGAGAATTCCCACAAAAATTACCTGCCTGAAACAAAGTTTCCTGTATTCATACCTCAACATGGCATCCACTCAATACATGGGTCAGAAAAACCCAGAAACTTATCTCAGCAGGTTAGTTTGAATACCCAAACAGAGCACCTCATTCTATATATCAAATCTGCGCAACGAACTAACTCGGCAAAGTCCCTCGAACAGTACCCCTGCAGACGTCCGAAAATATTTGACCGCTCTTCTCGTTCAGAACCACGGAATAAGTATTGAAGAAGCTAAGGAGGTCGCTGCTTGTTGGATTTATGGCCGGGGGTCAGAATTTTATCAGTATGATCTGGAAACATTTAAAAATTTGTTTGGAAATGAAATAGGAATGCTGTTTTATTTGTATTCAAGGGGCATTACACCAGGTGGAAAGTTGTATGGTATTTGGAGATTTCTGGGAGGTGAGTTCTCTTTTCTCTTTTTCCTCTCGCTGTATGTGGAAGGAGGGGTTTGATGATTGTAGTGATGAAACAAATGCTAATACCGTGTCTCGGGATAAAAGCATGCTGTGTTCAATGATTTCTTGTCACGGAAGATGTGAGAGAATTGCTGATTGGTAACGTGATGAGGTCACTATTGAATTGGATAAATGGGGCACAGAAGGACGTGTGGGGAATGCCATAGATTCAAATTCTCGAAATATCTCCGGCCTGCTTTCAGTACGATTCAGATCTAGTTTTCAAGAGATGCTTCGATCAGGTCAAGAAGGGGTAAACGCACAGTGTAGGAGAGATTGTGGTGAGCTACCTCTAGATGACAGGAAGAACCTAGGGTATCACACGACTGGCTCCGGTGCAGGGAAATTTTTTGGGTCCTCAGAAAGACATTTTGAGATGGGATAAGTCATTTTGAAAGATAATTGAAAAAATTCCGAACACTCAGGATAGCTGATGCGCACATACATGTTCAGGCGTCTAGTTCTGGTGCCTGCGGATCGGAGCAGGTTACCCAAGTATAGACTTCTCAAAGACTTTTTGTACGTCACTGACTTTGTATAAAAGTCCGGAGATATGTTACGAGAGAGTTTGGTGGTTTTTAGCATAGCAGGAAACAAGAACAGTGCTTTAGTATCATTCCATTAACGTGGATATAAAATTGCATATCTAATTAAAAGCCTTCTGACTTCTGAGTAGAGGCTCCGCCAGTCCCCGATTTTTTTCCCAGGCTGACACGGGAGTACTGATGGATGTTGATGTTGCATGCTTGTGTTCTTTCAAGATATGAAATTTTCTCCTATTCCTAGGCGATGTTCTTGTCTTCCCAGTTTTATGTTTTACATCGGATTGTACCGGTGTTTTGCCTGTCATCAAACTAGTCGATGTTCTCTATTCAAATAACCTGGAGTGTGATCATGTTAGCCTCTATCTTCACCTTGCCTGTCATTCGAGTCAGACCCTTCTCGTAGATGCAAACATGTCTTTGGATTCGTTGCTACTTCTTCGTAGCTTAATTGGTGTCTTTAGATCCAATTTTGTCTTGCCAGCATTGCCGTTTGCCGCTAAAGGGTTTCCAACAACTGGTAAGTTTCATTCCTTCCAACTTCTAATGTTCTCACTAACTTTCTTTTGTGAATAGACTTTTCAATCTCTGTTCCGTATAATTTCCTTCTAGCACTGTTAGCTTGATGATCATGGATCTCTAATGACTGGTAAGTTTTATTCCTGTCACTTATAGCATTTACTAACTTTTGCTTACAATTCATCTGTTTACTTTTTCAAACTCGCATCACAACAACAGCAACAAATGGGATTTCTAGTCTTGTCTTTGGGAATTCTAGAGTTTGGCTTTTGCGTGGTTGTTTTTGATCTTCTTGATTAGAATTTAATATTTTTATTTCATGCAACCCTTCTACTCCTCCTTGATGACTTGTGATTGATTGCTTTTTATTGTGCTTCCTGTATGCACCCTTCAATGCAGCTTCCACGATGCAATTAGCGCGAAAACCTCGACCCTTAATTCTTATTGGTAGGATGGTTTAAGAATCAAGGAAGATCTCAAAGGTTGTGTCCCGTGTATATTCTCAGCATCAAAGGTGTTAGCACATCTATTGAGAGTAAGTTCATAGCTACTAATGCGGGCATATGTTCATCGCACACGCATTCAACCGCAATTGGAAGATCCTTTTCACATAAGTCTACAGTAATCATGATACATGTCTCTATACCTAGTATGCAGATACAAATATTACCTACAGACCATCTTTCCTTGTGGTATTATTGAAATGAAGTTCTGGTTATGCACGTGTTTTGCTTGGTGTAGTAACGTACACCCAATTTCATAATATGTTTCTAAAATGAACCTTCGAATATTTTCATATAATTATTTCAATCAAGAAAATCAAAATTCAATTTATGATAATCTCATTAAATTATATTCGATTTGAATAAAAGTTATATCAAATGATAATGTTACGAGGTTTGCCGTCTGGATCACGTGGAAGTGCTCTAGGCTCTCGAAGTAGGTTTATAACGAGGCGTCAAGCAGGGACTTAAAGTAATGACAATAATGATATGCAATTCGTAACTAATAGTAGAGTATACTAAATGATTGATCTTGAGCACGAAGCTATATACAAAGGAAATCCATCTTGATTATATAGACCTTCATGCCTATCGTTCCTTCGGTCCCTTCGATCCCTTCGATCCCTTCGGTAAAGGGATCGAAGGGATCACATGACTTCGTACGTGGTCATATGATACGAGGCCAGAAGTCGTCGTAACAGATAATTAATAAGTTAATTTATATTTTGAATTAATTTCAGTCAATTTCAATTCATTATTATAAAGAATTAAATTTGAAAACACAAAAATTCAAAAACGTTTTCATTAAGTATAAAAAATCACGTTTTTTTGAGACACGTGTTATGGAACTGAGTGTAACAATATGAATACCTAGGGATGTAACGTTATGCACGTGACAAAGAATGGTTCGCATTGCTGCCTACGAGGAGCTGCACCTGCTTCGTAATCTTCTCTGCCTTTTTTGTTGAATTATAAATATGAGCCCAAGATCCCCCAATGTTTTTCGGTATTTCAATTACTTTCAATCATAATCATTCCTTCCCACCTTTTTTGCTTCCATACCTCTCCCCTTTCCCAACTTCCTACCTTCATCATGCCAGGAGGAGTTTTCTCCGAAACACTTCAATCAATCACTACCACGAAGCTTAAGGAGCTTTCTAAAAAGCGCAATCATTTCGAGAACCAAAAAGAAGCTTTATCCTTCAAATTAAGCAATGAACTTGATCAGCGAAAGAAACTTCAATTGTTGCTCCATGGTGTGAAGCAAAGCTTTGCAGTTACTACATCAATTACGAACAAAAGTGCAAGCGACAATGTCACCAAATTGTCTTCCATTGAGCTTCTCGTCAAAAACCTGGAAAAGTTCCTTGCCCAAGCTGAATATGACCCATCAATCTCTGACAGAACCCTCAAGCAGTGGGAACAAAATCTCATGCAGCACTTGAATATCCAATCATCAAAACATCAATATGCGACTTTATATGGTGAATTGGTTACTGAATGGCTTTCTGCAGAGCAGCAGCAGCAAGCTGATAATATCTTTAACAGTTCCTCAGAAACTGATGAAGACTTCCAGAAAATCAAGAAGGAGACCGTTGCGAGGACTGAGGGACGAGCAAATTGGGAAAAACTGGTCTTTGAGCCATTTGAAACCGATCAGATTGCGATAAGATCATACTTGAGTAGTTTGTTTGGAATGGATGAGAAGAACGAACAAGCCAAGAAAGCATTGAATGCTTTGCGCAAACAAGTCGCGGCATTTGGAAATGATTTATCTTCTCCAGGGCAATTTAACCCCGCAGTTTTGCATTGGACGATTAATGGACTCATCTCTTCTGGTCTATTGTCTGACGAAAAGCGTGCAGCATTGAAAGACTTCTTGGCAAGCCCGGTCATTCTTACAGAAGTAGCAGACGTCCTCAACATGCGCCTTGTATCAATCGATACCTGGGAGTGGAATACTGACCTCGCTGTTGAGCAAAGACGACATTTGAACGGCACGCACCATATGTTTATCGACGAAGATCTCCTCGAAGCATTATTCCTTCAATACATTGGTGTCAAATGGTCAATTTTCTTCAAGAAAGCCTTTACAGATTTCTCCAATTTTGATGGAGCATGGTTGAAATTGAACAAGCCTATTCCTTTTATCGACCAGACGAGAAGAGATTATTATATTGGAAATCAATCTGGCTATCCGGGAAGTGTTCAGGGAAAAAGGGAAAAATTGTACAAATCTATCTATTTCATGTCTCAGCTTCCAGACTCGGAATTGGATGACCAAGCTGATGCGGATGGAGCCGAAGAAGCTGAGCATCAGAACATCGAAAAGAACCATAGCCTTAGACAACCCGCACAGAAAATGCCAATGCAGCTACAGACGATCCTCAATAGCTACAACCCGGCTTGCAGCAACTCAGATACAGCACAGCAATATTCACAGAAGACGAGAGATTTGGCGCCAAGTAATCGAAATGCTCCAAGTGTCGAAGTCGATACCCTTTTTAATGATGATTCTGCGAATTCCGACAAACCGCCAAAAACTCGTATGGAGATCAAACAATTCTTACTACATCTGCTCTCTACTGAGATTATCATCAATACAAGCCTTCACGGAGAATTTACTTGTGCTCGTTCCGAATTCGAATCATTTAGTCCATCATTACCGCATTCTACAATTTTTTGTGTTTTCGAGTTTTTTGGACTTTCAGAAAAATGGTTGAGGTTCTTCCAAAAATTTCTTGAAGCTCCACTTAAATTTACGGATGATGATATATCTGCAGAGGCTCGCATCCGAAAGCGTGGAGTTCCCGCAGCTCATGCTTTATCTGCTGTTTTTGGAGAAACAATTCTTTTCTGCCTCGACTACACTGTCAATCAGAGCACAGATGGAGCTCAGCTCTATAGGATGCATGACGACTTTTGGATTTGGTCGCCTTCCCAACAGACTGTCGTCGAAGGGTGGAGATCAATTCTTAAGTTCTCCGAAATCATGGGAGTTACCCTTAACAAAGGTAAAACAGGCTCGGTACGCATCGCGTCCAGCGAGACCAATAAACCTATTGACCCCTCTCTTCCTACTGGTGATATCCGCTGGGGTTTTCTCAAACTGGATCCTACCACTGGACATTTTACCATTGATCAATCCATGGTAGATGAACACGTCTTAGAACTTCAATCCCAACTTGGGGACAAAAAGAGTGTTTTTTCCTGGATTCAAGCATGGAACACTTATGCTGGTCGTTTCTTTACCTCCAATTTTGGAAAACCATCGAATTCATTCGGGCGTGCACATGTTGATGCCATGCTCTCTAGTTTTAAACATATTCAAAACCTCATATTCGCAAATACAAATGTGGTTTCATATCTCAAAGATACATTGAAGGCGAGATTTGGAATTGATGATGTCCCTGACGGATACCTTTATTTCCCAACTAGCCTTGGCGGTCTTGAGTTGCACAACCCTTTTATCGGACTCCTACAATTACGCAACGGGGTGTACGAAGAACCAGGGAAATTAATGAGCGACTTGTTCGAGGCCGAACATGATTCGTACAGAAATGCCAAAAAAGCGTTTGAAAACAAATCTCCTCAGGTCAGAATATTAATGGCTCAGCGGTACCAGAAAAATTTAGACAACCTCGACCCGGAAAATTTCATGCCTTTTGACGAATTCATCAGCTACAGAGAAGAAGTAAGCGTCAGTGGGAAAGTATCTCTACTCGAGGTCTATGAGAACCTGCTTAAACAACCGGGCAAAGAAACGGCAGGTTGGGATGAATGGGATATGGTGTTGGCAAAAGCAATCGAGGGTGGTTTTGCCTCAGCATTTGAGGGTATGGATGTGGGATATTGGAAATGGGTTATTAAGCTTTATGGAGAAGAAATGAGAGAGAAATTTGGAGGCTTGGCTGTGGTGGATAAGGGGTCGTTGCCTACTGGAATGGTTAATTTGGTGAGAAGTGGAAAGGTGAAATGGCAGGGTTAGGACCCAACTCCTTTCTCAAAGAATGAATTGGGAATGATTTTGGAGGGGCATGTTTCTAATTATTTTCAGAATAATTTTGTTTCTTCTTTAGACTTTGGGGAACAGTGTTGACATGTCACTCGGGAGACTAACCCTTGGAAGAAGAATATATTTCTACTATGCCTGTCCAGCCACTGGTCATGTTTTCGAATCACTACATTTTTCTTCAAATCTGAGTTCCAACTAATGGATTATCAAAAAAGATTTCATGACACTTTATACATCCTTTGGCTCTCTCTTATTTTCATCACCTTGATCACTTCCTCCTCCAAAATCTCCTCCAAAATCCCCCTATATACTAAACATACCAAACACATAAAACCTGCCCAACACCCCCCAATATGAAATACCGAAAGACGTTTATAGTTACAAAAAAAAAAGATTTATATTCTCATCTCCTTTACTTCATCAATAGTCTATCACTTTACTTTCCAACTATTTTTGTTTCTTTTTACTCCTTTAACCCCGAGCTTTTCTCTATTATATTTCTTCTCTCTCTCATCTATATCAGAACCCTACGAACTAATAGAACTTAGAAGCTTATATAATAGTCCCCCTCCCGACATCCTAATTAATCCTGTACTGAATGAGAATGAAAACTTAATGGATATTAATATTAATATAGATAAAGATAAATATGCTTATACATTTATGTGTTTTAGAGTTAGTTTGTTGTGTTTACTGATGAGATGGTGTTCGAGAAGATGGTTGATCTATTAATACTTTTATTTAATTATAATTTCTTCTCTTGTTTTTATTTTTTATTTTGGTTAATTATAGATTTATATATTTGTATTTGGATAGATATTTGTACTTTGATAAGTGTTTGTTGGGGAAGTAGAGGGGGTGGGAGAGGGATAGGAGAGAAAGGATAAGAGGAGCTCGAGAAGTATTTGTGTGGACGGAATAGAGGAGAAGGAATCAAGTAATTGAAGAAACTTTGGATATTTGATTAATATTTATTACTTCACACTTCTCGCTAAGTTGATGGAGGAAGGAAAGGAAGTGACTCCAAAAGTTAAAGGGATAGTTAGTTATTGCTTATTTTTTATGCTGCAATCCCAATTCCCAAGGTGAAGGAAGGTAGGTTTTAGAGTGGAGATTAGAGATTCAAAGTTTGCATTTTTGGTGATACTTGGAGATTGATGAGGAGGTTGAAAGTCATGAGGAAGGGGATTTTGTTTGAGAAGCCCAGTGTGAATGGTGGAGAAGTATAGCAATATCACCACCATTACTCCCGCCGCGGAGCAGTATTCTAAAGACAAATATTTGCTTGTTTTGCACACCTCATTTTCAAAGTGGTTTCCTTTTCTAGCTACGCTAGAATTGACAAACGAAACTCTGATCAAGTGATTGTTAAATTCTCAGGAACGATTAATCTTTACCTGTTTGATTTTTCCTCGAAATAATCCACGAATAAATCGCTGTATTCATGACTTTTATTATGAAAAGCTAAGTGTATATGGGTGGAGCATATATATGTGATTTCACAGCAAGTATTTCTTCTAGTCGTCAAACATCTAGTGGTTGTACTAGTGCGAAAACCAAGTTAGACTATATAACCCAGAGTCTAACGGAAATCAAACAGTAAAGATACTTTATCCAGATGATTACAAACCGTATGGTGAAACTTTCGAGTTTAGAGTGCTTATGAAAGATTGAGATTAGATGTGCGCATTGAGATTGAATATTTAAGGGAAGAATTGTTCCATTGTGGTCATCATTAGTTGCGGGATCATCGATTGTCGATGCTTGTGGATAATTGCTGTCACTATTTAGATCTATTTGCCGTGATAATCCTTCTTGTCTATACATTTTCTTACCGAAACGGTGATGTGACACGAATTTAATATGATATTTAGATTCATCATGTTCTAGGACCTTATCACCGGAACGACTTGGGAGCTAATTTTATAAACTCCTTCAAGCAAAATAACTTCACATCTTGCCTTTTCCTATTTAGTGCCTCTGCTAATATGTTTACAATCATTGAAGTTTTCAATTCTTTCAAGGGATAGACTTTTTTAAATTAGTGAGTTTAGTCCTTTATTTTCAGCTTGTACTTCTTTCTCGCATATTCTCGCTTGGAGTGATATGGGAATCCATCATTCGCCCAACACCAGAGCCACCAACAGATTTCTCATACGACTCCCTTATTCTTCTTACTTTCCTTGTAAAGAATTCAAATCAAAAGATATAAAAGCTACCCAAGCCTATAAGTTTTTCATATTAGCCGTAATAAACTATTTTAAAGGAGAAAGAAATAATCTCTACTCAAGATCACGAATTATCTTATCTATGCATTTCTAGATGGAGATGTTAAATCTAGGTTATTCATGTCGTATGATATGGAATATATCAAAGTCACTTCAATGAAATTGTGTGAGATGATGATGATATTTACCTTCTATTGTCATTGGCAATGTGTATTCACTTTCTCTAGTAGATTGACAATGGGTACTAGTTGAAGCCATGATGAAAAGTTATGGATATAGAAGTTGTGTTTTTGAGGCATTTGATCATGATAGGGTTAATAAGATCGAGATTATTCATACAACTGTAGCCATATATCTTTTAAGTATGCTAAAGTGTTAATCTTGTAGCAAATCAGTCTTTTTATATCAAGAAGTTCTTTCTTTTTCCTCTTTTTTTTTTTTCTTTTCCAACCGTATTTGCCAGATTAACCCATTATATCAACCATCACCTTCACGGCATCCATTGTCACCTATCTCATCATATCTTGCCTTCAATTTTATTTCTTAGCTTTTTCTTCTGTGTCTTATGCCTGGTTTATAAAGACCATCCACTTTTCAAAGTATATAAAGCACTCAATATTCTCTCTGATATTGACATTATATCCATAACTTTAAAGTTAAAAAGTATACAACTTATATATACCCATCTTACTTAATAATTAAACTTATATCTAATACTAGTAGAGAAAGATAAGACCGGATGAGATAATAATTGAGAGGGATATCTATTATTATAAGAGTTGCTGAGTTGGTTAATTAATAAAGGTATATATTTTAATAATAATAAAGATTTATTTAATATTACTTCAATACGAAACTAAGAATGATAATAAATATTTAAATATTAAAAATCTTGATAATAATAAAAGTTAAGATAATCTTTTCTTTTAAAATAAAAACAAATTATTTTTTTCTTATTTTATTTAATTTTTAATTTTTAATCTTTCATAACGGTTTCTTATTTTAAATAAGAAAATAAAACATAAAAATTATATCTCAGATATCTTTACTACAATAACATAAAAAAAGTAAATAATAAA